TAAGTTTGTAGATATTGCAACAGTAACAGAGTGTTTCGATAGGTAAGCAGTTTTAAATTTGTGATGTGAATTATTAACCCTTTCAGACCTGAATTATTTTTTTTCACCCGATCAATTTAATTAAATTTATGCAACTAAAGTATAGTAAGATATCTAAGAAAAAAATCATGAAAAAAATCCTAGTGTTATACTTTTCGAGAAAATGCATTTTCTTTTTATGTCTACAAATGTGGCCATCCGTCCCACGTGAAAAAAAACTTAAGGATTAACAGTGTTATTGAAATAATAGAACGTACCATTTTGGAACTCTTTTTAATTAGTTTTTATAAAAAAAAGACTTTTTTTTGTCTAAATAACAAAATTAAATCTCTTCTTTCATCATCATCATGATCATCATCATCTCAGCCCTATGGCTGAGATGATGACGTCCACCGCTGAACATAGGACTCCCCCAATGGTTCCCATGTTGCCCGTTTGGTAGCAGCCTGCGTCCAGAGCTTTCCTGCTACCTTTATGATGTCGTCGGTCCACCTTGTGGGTGGACGTCTCACGCTGCGTTTTCCGGTACGCGGCCTCCTCTCCAGAACCTTGCTGCTCCATCGGTTCGTTCTGCGTACTATGTGCCCTGCCTATTGCCACTTCAGCTTGCAAATCCGTCGGGCTATGTCAGCGACTTTAGTTAGTTTACGGATCTCCTTATTTCTGATTCGATCTCGTAAAGAAACACCGAGCATAGCCCTATCTATAGCACGCTGTACAACTTTGAGCTTCTGTATAAGGCCTATAGTGAGAGGCCACGTTTCCAAACCATAAGTCATCACTGGTAAAACATTGGTTGTACCTACACTTTAGTCTTCAGGCACTGAGGTCATCATCATCATCATGATGATGATGATGATGATGATGATGATGATGACCTCAGTGCCTTCAGCCATAGGACGTCCCAACCGAGTTGGATTCGACGATTGACCTCTTTCTCGAAATTGGACCTACCTAGCTGAATCGTTTGTCCGAGGTAGACATACTTGTCAACAATTTCGAGGAATCGATCAATGGCTTCTCCATTCTCTTAGTTATCTGAAGATAGCACAAAATCAGATAGATTTCCGTCATCTCAGTGTTCTCAAGGCCTCTAGTAAGGACATTTTGACATTATGTTATCTGGACATAAAAAAAAATGATTTACATAATTATTTAATACATAAAATAAATATATTGTATTTTTTCTAACATAAATGTATTTCTGAATACTAAAAAAGTTGAAATAAAAATGAATTTATAATAAAACCGTTATCACTTGGAACAATTTCAAAATGCTTAGTTGCCTCCTGATGGGATCATTTGAGTACAAATCTAAAAGTCGAGATTAGTAATACAAAGACAACACAAAATACACAAATTGTATGTTCCATGTGTCCCTTGTAATAATAAATACACGCTAGTATTTTTTACAGAAGATATCTGTTACTATTTCATATTTTTCCGAAATAGAATAAAGAGCTCACCTGCACAGTTCAAATCACGCTCGGGCACTGGTTGAAACTTGTCAATTAGTGCTATTATACCACGAGAGATGGCGTTAAAAGTACTGAATTAGGTAGTTTATTATGTGAACAAATGAAGACAACCATTTTAAGTTTCAAATGTACAGAGTTAAGTTTATAATTTTGATTTATATTTTATGTCTACAATTGTGGACGCCGGGTCTGAAAGGGTTAAGTAAACAANCCATATGGTGCATTTTGCAACAAAGAAATTATGCCCGATTTTGCAGTCGACCACATCGAGGCGAGAAAAAGATGGAAAATACTTTCTCTTTCTAATAAAAGAGGACAGGATGCTTTCCTAAGCGAGACAGAGATAGAACACAAACACACTCCCATAAAGCCTAATTTGGCACAAATGACGTCATTATTTTGCTGCTATTCAGTAGGAACTACCAGGAGCGCATGCAGTTTGAAGAGGTATAAGTACACAAGTCCAGAGAAAGGGAGATAACCTTATAAGCGAAAAAGAGAAGAATAGTACGCCATTCATAAAATCATTCATAGAACGAAACAACAATACAATAGTGAGTTCAAATAAAGCAATAAATATCAACCGAAAATGAGGGTATAGTTCCAAAATACTGGACTGTCCTGTCGATGACATTGACAGTGGGGCGCCACCGTCAATACCGGATCGCTGGTTCAGATTTTTGCCATGTTGGAAACCATATAGTTGAACGATGGTAGCGCCCCCCTGTCATTGAGTTTGGTGAGACAGTTCAGCGTGGGTCATCTAGAGATCCAAAATCTTCTGACACTAACTGTCACAAGCGCAAAATTAATTGCATTATATAAACTGCGTTCTCATTTCAAGTTAATGTGTCAGTTTTTATAATTAGTTAATTACAAAAATAAGACCTCTGGTTTATAAAAAAATAGTAAATTATGTGCATTATTAAAGTGTCATCGAATGAATGAAAGTATAGTTCCAAAATACTGAACTGTCCTATCCATGACATTGACAGTGGGGCGCCACCGTCATACCGGATCGCTGGTTCCGATTTTTGCCATGTAGGAAACCATATAGTTGAACGATGGTAGCGCCCCCCTGTCATTGAGTTTTGTGGGACAGTTCAGCGTAGGTCATCATAAGTATGTGAGTAGTTTTTGTTTTGTAAAACATCCAAAGTAACCTATTTCTTATTACGTGTTTTGCGTTCGTTTCATTGGTTTTACATTGCGTCAGGAAAGGTACGATGGCGGATTCGATTTCTGCTGAGGGCAATTAGAAATATGACGAGCTTAACTATCTTATTAAATTCATTTGTTTTTTTATTTCTTAATTATTTTATCCGTCATGTACCTACCTAGTATTTTTCTGTTTATTTTGAAACTAGGTGTTTAGTTGGAACATAATAAAACGTAGTTTCATATTGAAAATTTTGTGTTGTGATTCCTGACCCGACCACGACATGGAACGGAGTTTTTACTGTGGCACAAAATGGTAGTTTTAATTGTGTTTTACTGTGCCACTTATCCCAAGAATTTGTGCCTTGTACTTTTTGAGTAATAAGAGGACGATTGTGGTCGGGCTGGGGATCACGGTTCCTGGCCCGACCACAAGCAGATCTAATAAAATATCAATAGTGTTAAGTTACTGATTATGCCAAAAATATGTGTCAAACTGTGCCTTTAGCAAATGTAAAGCATTTTCTATTAATCACAAAATAAATCTAGATTCGGATTAATTAGTTTTTAGCATGGTCATTTGAACACTTTGTTCGTGACAATTACGTCGTCTAGGTAACTTTAAGTAATCGATGTTCACCGATTACTTAAAGATTTCGCGTCTGATTTGAGTGACTTTTTTTGTTTTATAGTAGATACTTGCCATTTGGTCCCATACACAATTTAATTTAGTTTAACGTAGGTAGTCGTTTTTATTTTACGAGCATGATTTTCGAACAGAATTTTTCGGACTCAGATTACAGACACTGAAAAGTCAAAAAAAATAAAACCGACTTCAAATGCGTGAACACAAAAAAAAACTAAAAATTAAAAATATTGCGTATAAAAAAGTTCAACCCCAATTTTCCACCCTTGGGGGTGAAATATTTTCTTCAAATTCGCATGAAACCACCCTTTTGATAATACCTATTCAACAAAAAAATAATCGTTCAAATTGATTTATAATCGGCGGAGATATTGAGTATAAAAAGTTCATCCCCAATTTTCCACCCTTGGGGGTTGTTTTTTCTATTATTAAATTTAAATGGGACCACCCTTGAGGTATTACCTATACGCCGAAAAAAGATTTGTTCAAATCGGTTCATAATTGGCGGAGTTATCGCGTAACAAACATAGAAAAAAAAAAACATACGGGTCGAATTGATAACCTCCTCCTTTTTTGAAGTCGGTTGAAAATAAAATAAACTGCGTTTAAAAAACCTAATAATTAACTTTTTAAAAAAATAAAACCGACTTCAAATGCGTGAACACAAAAAAAAACTAAAAATTAAAAATATTGCGTATAAAAAAGTTCATCCCCAATTTTCCACCCTTGGGGGTGAAATATTTTCTTCAAATTCGCATGAAACCACCCTTTTGATAATACCTATTCAACAAAAAAATAATCGTTCAAATTGATTTATAATCGGCGGAGATATTGCGTATAAAAAAGTTCATCCCCAATTTTCCACCCTTGGGGGTTGTTTTTTCTATTATTAAATTTAAATGGGACCACCCTTGAGGTATTACCTATACGCCGAAAAAAGATTTGTTCAAATCGGTTCATAATTGGCGGAGTTACCGCGTAACAAACATAGAAAAAAAAAACATACGGGTCGAATTGAGAACCTCCTCCTTTTTTGAAGTCGGTTGAAAAGTAGAAAAATAATTTTACGTTATTTATTTAATTAGGACAATTATTATGACCATGATTGATATTCTCGGAGTCGGTGCCAGTCTGTCTCAAGAAACGTACTGCTCATAAAATAAAAACGACTACGTTAAACTAAATTAAATTGTGTATGGGACCAAATGTCAAGTATCTACTATCGAACAAAAAGAGTCACTCAAATCGGACGAGAAATCTGCAAGTAATCGGTAAACATTGATTACTTAAAGTTATCTAGACGACATAACTATCACGAACAAAGTGTTCAAATGAGCATGCTAAAAACTAACTAATCCGAATCTAGATTTATTCTGTGATATAATAGAAAATGCTTTACATTTGATGTAGGCACAGTTTGACACATATTTTTGGCATAATCAGTAACTTCACACTATTGATATTTTATTAGATCTGCTTGTGGTCGGGCCAGGAACCGTGATCTCCAGCCCGACCACAATCGTCCTCTTATTACTCAAAAAGTACAAGGCACAAATTCTTGGGATAAGTGGCACAGTAAAACACAATTAAAATTACCATTTTGTGCCACAGTAAAAACTCCGTTCCATGTCGTGGTCGGGTCAGGAATCACAACACAAAATTTTGCCGAAAGTGATAAAACTAGTTTAGAAAAAGTAGATTTATTTACAATTCGTCTTATATCTATAAAACAATTAGTCAATCTTAGAACAACATCACTGGTCTCAGGGGAAGTTGAGGAGGCCGGGCGGAGGCTCCGGCGGCATGAACTGCGGCAGAGACACGTTTGGGTCTGAAACAAATTGATCATATTTAGTCCTTTGTGGTTATAGAACATTTGCGTCAGTTGCACCTTAACTACAACTTTAACCGGTGTTTTTGAATGGGGTTTGACAGACTTAAGGTCTCAAGGACTTAAGGTATACAAACAAACGTGTGGCAAAATGGTCTTTGCTTTTTATTTTCGTTTTTAGCAAAGATTGTTTTTAATAGGTAGATGGCGTGACGACACATTTTATATTAAGTACTTGCAGAAAATGTTCAAGAATCTCTGTTTAATTACTGTGGAAGTTAAGTCGACTGGAATGCTGTTGTTAAGCACAATACTCAATACAAAAGTTGTCCAAGCCCATGCGATCAATGTAATAAATATAAGCTTTTCTCCAGAAGTACTGTCGGCTCAGCGATTTTGGTCTGCTATGAAATTGTTGGTCTAAAACTCCCGAGGTTCGAACCCACAATCCCGGCGTAGGAGGCCGACAACTTTACCGCGGAGCCGACAGTACGTGATAGCGTTCAGCGAAACTTTCAATCGCTTTGAGTTTACACACGCGGTTTGTAGGTCAAGGACGTCATGAATTTCCTTCTAAAATTAATGTATTCTACATTCATTATCTCTATGGAATGTACGCAAATTTGCTAAAATTCATATTCAATTCATGGACTTTTCACGCGGATCTCCTTTTCGAGTCTAGATTCTGGAGGTGACGTCAATAATTCACTTAAAATAATTAACGTTTTACTCATAAGGAAATTTTGAATTCGGTAGTAGCTCCAGACTTTTCCTGGCCATTACAGAAATAACCGATCATATTATTGTTTTAATAAATTATAATTACCTAGTTCTGTATGCACCGCGTCCAGAATTGCCTACAAGATAAGAGTGTGTCATGTAAGATAAACAACTGCTAAAAACTAGTACAAGTTCACCCTATCAATATTAAGTGTTTTCAAAGTCAGTCTGGATTATATTTATCTTTATTGCTTGCCGATTTAATATACCGATAATATTAAAATTAAAATGTATGTCTTCCCTATATAAACAATGACAATACCTATCAACCGTATCGCAAAACGGTCCTGTGGTTTACCACAATTATTCATAACAACCCAAATTATCGTTAATTTTGTGGTTCTCTAGGTAGGATGTCTCACAGCTACACGGGATACACGGGTGACTACAAGGGGGTGCACTGCATTCCATAGCGACATGAGAAACTAGGAGGGTCGTTGACGTCCCAAACAAGAGACTAGAATATAGAGCAGTATGTCCCACAATCATTTAGTAGGTGAGGTGTAACTTATTGCGTTTTGCCTGCCACACCCTGTCTGACTCGCCGATCTTAGCCCGTGGGCGGGCGGCGGCAGCGCCTCCCAAAGAGGCACGTGGGACTAGAGTGGGAGGTAGCATGTCCCATATTCAAAGTGACTACGAGGGGGAGGGACGCGTCCCACAACATAGGAGCTTACAAGGTGGCTGTGATGACGCAGAATGACTCACCAATCTTGAGCCCGTGGGCAGGCGGCAGCGGCAGTGCTTCCCATAGCGACACGGGAGATTAGACTGAGAGGTAGTATGTCCCACAGTCAAAATGACTAAGTGTGGGAAATGTTGTTCAGGGCGATTTTACACCAAGACTTACACATCTTGAGCCCATGGCCGGACGGCGCAACAGCGGCACATGAGGTGGCGTGAGACTAGAATGGGAGGTAGCATGTCCCATAGCCAAAGGGGAGCACGCATCCCACAATCTAGAAGCTGATAGTCTCTTAAGATGCTCTGAGAGTTGCTAGACGCGTGGCGCGGGGAATCTAGTCTAGCGCATCTCTACAGCGACTAACCAATCTTGAGCCCATAGGCGAGCGGTGGCGGCGAGCCGGGTGGCGACAGTGCGTCCCACAGTGACACAAGAAGATTGGGGGGTAGCATGTCCCACAGCACAGGAAAGGAGCTTCTAGTCTGCTAGTTGGCTACGGAAGATCCTAAACGCGGGGAATATAGTCTAGCGCATCTTTACAGCGACTCACCAATCTTGAGCCCGTGTGCGAGCGACGGCGGCGAGCCACAGCGACACAAGAAGCTAGATTGGGGGGTAGCATGTCCCACAGCCAAGCCCAAGAGCTTATAGTCTCTTAAGCGGCTATGGGATCCGCTAGACATGTGACACGGGGAACCAGGTCTCTCACCCATCTTGAGCCCATGGGCGGGCGGCGGCGGCGAGCCAGGTGGCGACAGTGCGACCCATAGTGACACAGGAGACTAGACTGGGGGGCAGCATGTCTTACAGCACAGGAAAGGAGCTTCTAGTCTGCTAGGTGGCTACGGAAGATCCTAAATGCAGATAATCTAGTCTAGTGCGTCCCTACATCAAAACAGGCGACTCACCAATCTTGAGCTCATGAGCAGGAGCGGCAGTGTGTCCGATAGCGACACAGGAGATTAGAGTGGAAGGTAGCATGTCCCATAGCCAAGAAGCTTGACTCCTAAGTGGTTATGGAAAACACTAAACGCAGGGAATTTAGTCTGGAATGTGTCTCCTCTAAAACTAGGTCTCTCACCCATCTTGAGCCCGTGGGCGGGCGGTTGCAGCAGCGGCTGGGCGGGCGGGCGGCGCAGCAGGTGCAGCGGCGGCGGGGCGGCGGGCGGCGGCGGCGGGGACGCGGGCGGCGGCGGCGGCGGCAGCGCGTCCCACAGCGGCGCGGGACTACACTAGCTAGAGCGGGAGGTATGTCCCACCGCTAGTGACTATAAGGGGGGCAACGCGTCCTACAACCCAAGGGCTTATAGTCTACTAGGTGCTACAAGGTCCCAACGCTGGCATAAAGTGACTAGAAAGGGAAACATCACATCGCTAAATAGAGTGGGAGGCGGCATAACCCACCGCTAGTGACTATAAGGAGGAGCAACGCGTTCCACGACATAGGAGCTTATAGTCTGCTAGGGCACGACGGAGGTACAAGGAGACTAGAGCAACGCGTCCCATTGGTACAGGGTACTAGAAGGGAGGACGGCGATTCCTACCACCGTGCGTGAGATTAGAAGAAAAGGCAGCGTGTCCTACGGCCATACAGGAATCTTAAAATCTTGGCGAGAAGTGCCGAGTGCGTCCCCAGCGACACAAGAAGCTAGATTGGGAGGGAGAATGTCCCACAGCTAAAGTGTTTCAAGGGGGAGCAACGCGTCCCATAACCTAGGAGCTTCTAGCCTTCTAAATGAGTATGGAAGATCCTAAACGCGGGAAATTTAGTCTAGCGCATTTCTATAGGATGACTTACCAATCTTGAGTCCATAGGCGAGCGGCGGCGGCGGCGAACCGGGTGGCGACAGTGCGTTCTTCAGCGACACAAGAAGCTAGATTGGGAGGTAGCATGTCCCACAGCACAAGAATGGAGCTTCTAGTCTCCTAAGTGAGTATGGGAGACACTAAACGTCTAAAATGTAGTCTAGTGCGACTCACCCATCTTGAGGCCGTGGGCGGGCGGCGTGAGCAGCGGCTGGGCGGGCGGGCGGCGCAGCAGGTGCAGCGGCGGCGGGGCGGCGGGCGGCGGCGGCGGGGACGCGGGCGGCGGCGGCGGCGGCAGCGCGTCCCACAGCGGCACGTGGTCCGGGTGCGTGGCGGGACACGGCCACGCGCAGCCGGTGCGACGCGCCTTCTTGCGCTGGTTGAATATTGTTTATTAGGCACACAATAAAAGAGTTTGTTACGACGTTTCTTCTCAGCACTTCCCATAATAATATGTTTGTTCCGAAGCGGTGGTAGGGCCCAAAAGATAAGGAGACGTGTAATGTGTCCCTTTTTTTTATGTGACAGGAGGCAAACGAGCAGACGGATTGATTTGTTTTGTGATTACCGTCGCCCATAGACACCCGCAGACCCAGGGGCGTTACAGGTGCGTTGCCGGCCTTTATGGTGAAGATACGCTCTCCTCTTGAAAGCTTGCAGATCGTATCCATCCCTTAAGGGCTACCTTTTTTTTTACTGTATTTTGACATTAATAAGTGCCACTAGTGGTCTAAATTGAATATTTTTGATTAATTTCATTTAATTAATTGAAATAATACATACATAAATGAACAAAAAAAGAAGCCTTATCCCAATTAAATTAAAATATCATTGAATGCCATGTGCCAAAAAGGTACTGGCTCAGCATTAGTCGTGACATTATAGGTGCCACGACACTGGTTTTCAACAAGGATCTTTGGGGCACTGGGGTCACCGTAAGCGTCAAAACTAAAACACACAGATTACCTACTACAAAATTACAAAAAATAAAATCTTATAGCAATTACAAAAAACTTGTGTTCAGAATGTGAAAAACGCACTACTATAGTCTGGTCCGTGAGCACGTAGAATTTTGTCCAATGACCCCAAGCTACCCATCCTTATTGCTCGCGCGTAATTATGTTGCTGTCGCGCTCGCACACTCACTGCGGGCGCGCGTCGCACAGTCGCGACAGCAATATAATTACGCGCGAGCGATAAGGATGGGTAGCTAGGGGTCATTGGACAAAGTTCTACGTGCTCACGGACCGGGCTTTATACATTAATATTTATTTTATTTATGTATATCTTGGCTATGGCAGAATAACAGGGTTTGTGGGTCTCCTGCAATCACTGAGTCGTAGACCTTTTTGTCTCTTACGACTATGATATTGTATCTGTGATAAACTGTAAACCTGTTTTGCGACAAATAAATACTTTCTGTCTATCCCAAGCTCGTCGTGAGGCGATTAACAAATGTAGAAAAAGAGATTAGAGTGGCAATTTCAAACTTGAACCCCATTCTGAGAAACTATGCGCAGAAAAGTAAACTTAGGGTTTTAGAACTACAGCTGGTATGATAGCAAATTCCCAAAGACGACACAGTAAAAAAATGGAAAACCCTGTATAGCAATGCGATTCTTTTGTTGACAAAGTATTATCTTGCAATCAGTTGTCTTAAAAAGTTAGATACAAGTGTTAATTGGTTTGCTAAGACTTCGAAGAATATTTACTCAGTCCACATTTGTCAATTCTTAAATCAAAGACCTTACCTTCTTGACGGGAGGCTCCTCTGTGTCCGAGTCCTGTCCAGGCTTGTACCCGTCGGCGAAACTGACTCGCTTGGCGCTGCGAGAAGGCTCAACGCATAACGACTTGCTGTAACACACACACATATTGGGCCTTATTACAAAAAAGTTAACGAACACTGGTTCAAGAATAATGTTTTAGTGTATTATTCAATAAGATGTGGATAGTCCGCGACGTAATACGCCATCTCAATGCCAACAATCATTGTCTGTTAGACGGTACGAAGTTCGCCGAGTCAAAATTATAATTGTTTAAGAGTATGCATGCAACAATATTAACGTTTCAGTTATTTTCGAGCAAATAATTTTTATACAGTAGCCAAATGTGGATAGCCAGCATGGCGCTCATTGCGGCGCGCTCGCACTGTACTGCGTCTAAATCAAAAACCAATACAGACTCCATTCTACAACTTTACACACGTTATTTATAGACTACTAGGTATATTTTAAAATAAAAATTTAAAATTTAAAAAATCCCGAAGTTTTGTAAAATTCGATTTTAAAACTTTACTTCCGGTTTTCTATGTGAACAAAAAAGAAATTTCAAATTTGTAGTAAATAGTAAGAAACACAGTTATTTATTCTCAAAAGTCCAATAGTTAGTATATTTTTAATCAAATATAATAGCAGTAATAGCTTTTGAAAAATCTTTTCCTAAAATTTTACCAATTTTTCGAACGCTCATAAAAAATAAACTAAGCTTCATAAAAAGATTATAATGATGCACATCCATTTAGGTCATATAGCAGTACATTTAATCAAAATATGAAGAAAATCCAAAACCTGACTTGATATTCGCTGTCCGCTTCGCGTGAAATAATGCCCCTATAGTCCAAGCCAACAGATATCTTTTTGACAGTTCTATTGGTGTGGGTGAGAATTTTAATACGTAACTTTTAGCAGGTATCATGGACAGAAAATCTTGAAGGCTAACTTATAAAACCCAATTATAAAATATACTTACGTAACCAGGATCCCCTTTTCTGGGGTGTCTTTGTCCGTTTCCACATCATCTGTCTCTTTCGTCACTTCACCAAGATCTGAAATCAGAATACCACTTTAACTTGATTGATATATCCCCTTACATAATTCAGGTAGATGAATATTTAATAGTTAAAAATATGTGGCCTCCTCTGTCCGTCTGACCAGGGATTATTCCACTTCGTTCACCTGAGTGAAGAAAGTGGAATCTTTAGTGTCCAGGTGATATCACCCAGGTGAACAAAGTGGAATAAACAGTGGAAGTGGAAGCAAATTAGAGTAGGTCGTGCAGGAGCATTGGAGACCAAATGACCTAATCATGATGAAGGCTAAGCCACTCACTAAAGTCTGGTTCGTGAGCACGTAGAATTTTGTCCAATGACCCCAAGCTACCCATGCTTATCGCTCGCGCGTAATTATGTTGCTGTCGCGCTCGCACACTCACTGCGGCCGCCCGTCGCACAGTCGCGACAGCAATATAATTACGCGCGAGCGATAAGGATGGGTAGCTTGGGGTCATTGGACAAAATTCTACGTGCTCACGGACCAGGCTTTAGTCTCTCTCAGTACTCGGTTGATTCTTTATGCGGCCCGAATCGCAATCATGTCCATTATTTCTAGTCCGGATTGATGATGAACACGAGTATAATGAAGGTACTACAACTCACTGGTTTCCCTGAGTGCCCGGTTGATTCTTTCATCCAGGGATGACAGACGCGGCGCAGGAGTTTCCGTGGCAAAGCAATCGCCGTATTGCATTCGGTCGGAAGAGCCGAACATGTCCATGTATGCTTCATCGTACCTGACAGAGAGAACCATAATTATTATTAATGTTAAAAAATTATGATACGAGGGGCGGCTGAAAAGTTTTGAGCCTAGGGTATTAAAAATGCCGATAGAAAAGTATAAAAAATATATTTTCCTATTTAATCTCCCTCTACTACAACGGACTTCTTACATTTGTGTAAAAGAGCTTTTAACCCACTGAAAAAAAATTCGCAATCTTTGCCTTCGAAATGAGCCTTTAACGCCGCCTTCATTTCTTTGTCACTCAAAAATCTTCGTTCCTGAAGGTCTTTTTTCCAATTTGAGAATTAGACAAAATAGCTAAGGATTCGGACTAAACTGTGTGGAGGGTGATTAATTTCTTGAAATCCAATTTTACCCGAGGCAAGCCATGCAACATGCGCCATGTGCGCGGGCGAATTATCTTGCAATAACAGATTTCCATTCGCCAGTTTGCCTCTCAATATTTCAACAACCACTTGACGCACTCTTATCAACAGTATATAATAATATATAATAATTTCCGTTTATTGTAGTTTTTTTTAAATAGGTAGTCAATGAATAAAATTCCTCCACAATCCCAAAAATAGTGGCTATGAGCTTGGGTGTCGATCGCTCCACTTTGAATTTCCGCGGTGACGTTTTCCCTTTTAAATCCATTGCATTGACTCTTATTTTGACTCTACATCGTACTGCCGGATCTATTACTTATCAATAGTGATAATGTGAGAAAAATAATTGTAAGGATTATGGCCAAAGATGTCCTAAAATTCCTGCGAAGTTGTGACTCGACGCTGGTTGTCGAGTGGCGTGAGCATTTTTGGCACCCATCGCGCGCACCCCTATTTCATGTGCAAATTAGTATGAAAAATATCGCCAATACGTTCCTTGCTAATACCTATGGCTTCAGCTATCTGTCACAGCTTAATTCGCTGATCTCTAAAGCAAGATTAATTAAATTTTCATTATTTTATTCGTTAATGGCGAAATCTGGCCGCACTGACTTGCGGTCATCTTTTAGCGACTCCCTGCCATGCTTGAACTATCGGATCCAATATTTCATGATGGCAAATGAGGGCCCAGACTCCCCATAAACTGTAAACATCTCATCAAATGTTACCGTCAGCGTTTTGTTCCTTTTTTTGAGGAATTTTGTGACAACTGTGTACTTCAATTTCGTACATTGTGCGGATGACTGAGACATGATGATGTTTACGAATTAATTACTAAAAGCGTGATGACGCTAATGAAATGAAAATTTGCACATATACTAAGGAGGTTATTGGCAAATTAATTAAATTTAGCGCGAGTCAATAATAACACTTGAAGATACTTAGGCTCAAAACTTTTCAGCCGCCCCTCGTATAAGTGAATTTCATGTCAAAAATACCGGTTTTTTGTCACAATATTCTCAGTTCAGCATTAATCGAAACACTCAGGAGTGTCCCAATATTATTGAGGCAGCTTCGGGCCGAGCGGCTGCCTGGTTCCAAGCGGCAATATGGCTCAGCTCGCGGCGACGAATTTGCCACAAGACGCGGCCGCAGATTGAAGCAGCGTCCCCGCTTGCTCTGCCTCGGGACGAGGCAGCTGCTTGGCCCGAGGCTTCCTCTAGTGGATACGCGGTCCTAGAACTTCCAAACAGTGGGCAGCAACTCACCCGATGTTCTGGTTGTCCTGTCTATTAGCGAGGGTCTGTATCTCCCCCAATGTTTCAACGTTCTTGGACTCTCAGTAACAGTATGGCTAGCTAGCTAGTAATTAAGGTGGCCCTCGCCCAATATTCTGGTTGTCCTACCTAGTAGCCACGGTCTGTATTTCTCAGTAACAGCATTAAACTCACTCAATGTTACTACAATTTCCAAACAGCGCTTAACTCGTCCAGTATTCTGTAACCCTCGGTAACAATACCCCAACCATAGAGATATAGAGAGATGCCAAGTAATGCGCTGAGTTCGAAACTCAGTGTCGCATTAGAAATTCACACACACAAAGAAATCAAAATATGTGCGCATATCCACTGCAGTATCAGTACTCAACGATCGAATAATATTTAGTACTACGCAAGCAATGTAAACTGTTTACATTGTGAAGTCGCTGCTGTCATCATAGCTGCATCGAGAAATGTGTTCTATTTTTGGGCATATTGCCGCGACACCGGTCCCGCCCCCTTATCACATCTCCCTTTAGTTTCTGTGATCTGTGACCCCAACTCACCCGATGTTCTGGTGGTCCTGCCTATTGGCGAGGGTCTGTATCTCTCAGTAACAATACCCAACTAACTCAATATTTCCGTAACTCTCAGTAACAATACCCGACTCACTCGATGTTCTGGTGGTCCTGCCTATTGGCGAGGGTCTGTATCTCGTAGGGCCCGCGCTCCAGCACGCTGCGGATGGGATAAGCCACGGCGGGCTCGCTCGCCGGCCCTCCCGTCAGGACTATGTTCACTTCACCCGGCTTCAGACCTGGTGTGACCATGGTCCAACGTCCCAGAACTCCCAAACAGTACCTAAGAACTCACCCGATATCCTGCCTGTGGTAACGGTCAATATCTCCCCCAATGTTCCAACGTTCTTTCTCTCACTAACATTTCCTAACTCACCCGCTATTTTGGTTATCCTGTGGGATTTGAGGAGCGACTATACCTGTATAGGAAGCTAATGTGGAATTGCTTCTTTCCGAGCGAGTGTTGTGCTCGGGGACCAAGGTCCAGTTGTTAACCATGTCGGTTTTCTGTATATGCTAGTCAGGACAGAAAACTCTGACACCGCGATGCAGGTTTAGAGACGTCAAAGTGTATGCTATGGCATACAAAGCATGTATCAGCGCCATCCATTAGGTAAGAACTACCACTACTAGTCTGTAGTTTCGCGTCGATAGATGTCGCCACAATCTCTGTATGTTACCCAATGTCCCAGCGTTCTATAGCTCCCAGTGACAGTACCCCACTCACCCGATGTTCTGGTGGTCCTGCCTATTGGCGAGGGTTTGTATCTCTCAGTAACAATACCCAACTAACTCAATATTTCCGTAACTCTCAGTAACAATACCCGACTCACTCGATGTTCTGGTGGTCCTGCCTATTGGCGAGGGTCTGTATCTCGTAGGGCCCGCGCTCCAGCACGCTGCGGATGGGATAAGCCACGGCGGGCTCGCTCGCCGGCCCTCCCGTCAGGACTATGTTCACTTCACCCGGCTTCAGACCTGGCGTGACCATGGTCCAACGTCCTAGAACTCCCAAACAGTACCTAAGAACTCACCCGATGTCCTGCCTGTGGTGACGGTCCATATCTCCCCCAATGTTCCAACGTTTTTTCTCTCAGTAACATTTCCTAACTCACCCGCTATTTTGGTTATCCTGTGGGATTTGAGGAGCGACTATACCTGTATAGGAAGCTAATGTGGAATTGCTTCTTTCCGAGCGAGTGTTGTGCTCGGGGACCAAGGTCCAGTTGTTAACCATGTCGGTTTTCTGTATATGCTAGTCAGGACAGAAAACTCTGACACCGCGATGCAGGTTTAGAGACGTCAAAGTGTATGCTATGGCATACAAAGCATGTATCAGCGCCATCCATTAGGTAAGAACTACCACTACTAGTCTGTAGTTTCGCGTCGATAGATGTCGCCACAATCTCTGTATGTTACCCAATGTCCCAGCGTTCTATAGCTCCCAGTGACAGTACCCCACTCACCCGATGTTCTGGTGGTCCTGCCTATTGGCGAGGGTTTGTNCGGCGCTAGTAACACTAAAGGGGGTAGAGGGGCGCGGGAGGGGAAGTATTTTGGACACAAGTTGCCGCGTAGAAATGTTATCGAACACTCCTTCTGGTTTGTTCTGTATTCTGAGCTATTTTGTTGCAATTTCTTACAAAACTTGCGCGCAAAAAGCAAATCTAGTATGTAAATCATCAAACTTCTAATGCTCGTAACTCAGTTCAGACTGAGTTTAGAGGCATACAAGTTTTAGTAAGTTTGGTTTATTACACTATTTTGTATGCAAAAAACATGGTTTGGTCGATGGCCGCGCGAAAAAAAAAAGACGCCAATTTCCGGCATTGTCTTTTTGTGACACTATTCCAAACGCGTCGTGAGGCGATCCATAACAAATACAGAGAAAGAGATTGTCATTTTTTTTATCCACAACTAGGAAGCTCTTGGCCTCAATTTCAAACTTGAACCCCATTCTAAGAAACTATGCGCAGAAAAGTAAACTTAGGATTTTAGAACTACAACTATGACGTGCTATGCTCGGAGTTTCCCTGCGTGATCGAATCAGAAATGAGGAGATCCGTAGGAGAACCAGAGTGACTGACATAGCCCGCAGAATCGCTAAAATCAAGTGGCAGTGGGCGGGGCACATAGCTCGGAGAGCTGATGGCCGCTGGGGCAGGAAGTTCTTGAGTGGCGAGCACGAGCCGGAAGACTTAGCGCGGGCAGGCCTCCCACTAGGTGGACCGACGATCTGGTGAAGGTCGCGGGAGGTGCCTGGATGCGAGCGGCGCAGGACCGGTCTTTGTGGAAATCTTTGGGGGAGGCCTTTGTCCAGCAGTGGACGTCTTTCGGCTGAAACGAACGAACCAACTATGACATATGATAGCAAATTCCCAAGGGCGTCACATTAAAAAAATGAGAAGCCCTTTTTGTAGAAGGGCTTTTTTGTTGACAAAGTATTCACAATATTTCGGTATGAAATCAAAGAAAAGGTAATTTAAATATCTTGCAATCACAGTTGTCTTAAAAAGTTAGATACTAGTGTTAATTGGTTTGCTAAGACTTCGAAGAATATTTACTCAGACCACACTTGTTAATTCTTGGATCAAAGACCTCACCTTCTTGACGGGAGGCTCCTCTGTGTCGGAGTCCTGTCCAGGCTTGTACCCGTCAGCGAAACTGACTCGCTTGGCGCTACGGGAAGACTCCACACACAACGACTTGCTGTAACACAAACATATTGCGCCTTATTACAAAAAGTCAAGCCCGGGACGAACACTGGTTTAAAATGACATTTCCATACTAAGGCAGAGTTGCACCACCTAACTTTGACCGTAACTATAACGATGGCCGGCGTTTTCTGTAAGGAATTTGACAGATTTTTGACGTTTGTCAAAGTTAAAGAAGATGGTTGCCCAGCCTTAATGTCAATTTAAACCAGAGTTCAACCAGTCTAACTTTTTGTAATAAGGGGGGTTTGTGTTGCGACGTCTACATGACTATAGTCCAAGCCAATGACAGATATACTTTTAACATTTCAATAGGTGTGGACGAGAATTTCAATACGTCACTATCAGTAGGTATCATGAACAGAATTATACTTACGTAACCAGGATCCCCTTTTCTGGGGTATCTTTGTCTGTTTCCACATCATCTGTCTCTTTTGTCACTTCACCAAGATCTGAAAAAGGAATACCACTTTAACTTTATTGATATATCCCCTTACATTATTCAGGTAGATCAGTGTTTCCCAAAGTGGGCGATAACGCCCCCTTGTGGGCGCTGCAGGCTTAAAGGGGGGGCGATAAGAGACCCAGAAAAAAAATCGGGACGTTGTGTAGAGGCTTGGAAGGCGTCATCTACGAGGATGACTCTTAGACATCGACTGAGCTCGACTCTTGACTACAAAAATGGGGGGCGCTAAAAATAATTTATTCTCAAAGTGGGCAGTAGACTAAATAAGTTTGGGAACCACTGAGGTAGATGAATATTTAATAGTTAAAAATATAAGGCCTCCTCTGTCCGTCTGACCAGGGATTATTCCACTTCGTTCACCTGAGTGAAGAAAGTGGAATCTTTAGTGTCCAGGTGATATCACCCAGGTGAACAAAGTGGAATAAACAGTGGAAGTGGAAGCAAATTAGAGCGGGTCGTGCAGGAGCATTGGAGACCAAAATGACCTAATCATGATGAAGGCTAAGCCACTCGCTAGTCTCTCTGAGTGCTCGGTTGATCCATTATCTAGAGATGACAGACGCGGGCGCATCATGCATGCGGTCCGAGGCGCGATCATGTCCATTATATCAAGCCCGGATTGATGATGATGATGAACACGAGTATAATGAAGGTATAGTTGTTAAAATTCACGAAGGCGAGGGAGCTTTACATGTGTGGTGGCTAGCTACTGTTCGTTTTTCAAAAGTTTTGACAGACATTACACTATCGTTATGTGCATGTACACGTACACACACAAGTAAAGCTCACTCGCCTTCGTGAGATGCAAGAACTATGCTAGAACTCACTGGTTTCCCTGAGTGCCCGGTTGATTCTTTCATCCAGGGATGACAGACGCGGCGCAGGGGTCTCTGTCGCGAAGCAATCGCCGTATTGCATGCGGTCCGATGAGCCGAACATGTCCATGTATGCTTCATCGTACCTGACAAGGAGAATAATAATTATTATTAATTATAAAAAAATATAACTAAGAGAAGTGAATTTTATGTCAGCGGTTTTTTGTCACAATTTTCTCAGGAGTGTCCCAATATTGATTATTAGCGGATTTCTTCAGCCTTTAGCTGTCTACAATGTAATGAAGAGTGGAGCGACACGAAATTTGGTCAGGAAAAAACATTTCCTAGCTTCATCAATTTCAGATTGTAAGAGTCGAAACTCTCAGTAACAGTGCCCTTCTCATCCATGTTTTAGGGCTCTTAGATCTGATCAAAAACGTCATTCAAAGTTTCGAATGCTGTCATCTCGATTTTCGTTGCCAGCATGAGCGACAGTGAAAGATAGACCGAAAACTAAGTAGTTTCGGAGGAGCCCTGCTGTACCCAGCGTACTTACCCAATGTCCCAGCGTTCTATAGCTCCCAGTGACAGTACCCCACTCACCCGATGTTCTGGTGGTCCTGCCTATTGGCGAGGGTCTGTATCTCGTAGGGCCCGCGCTTCAGCACGCTGCGGATGGGACAGGCTCAAGGGCGCACCCGTAAGGTCTATGTTTACCTCTCCCGTCTTTGCTCCAATATTCCTAGAACTCGGTTACAGGGCCCCACTCACTCGATGTTCTGGTGGTCCTGCCTGGTAGCAACGGCCTGTATCTCACGCAATGTTCCAACGCTCTTGAACTCTCAGTGACAATACCCCACTCACCCGATGTTCTGGTGGTCCTGCCTATTGGCGAGGGTCTGTATCTCGTAGGGCCCGCGCTCCAGTACGCTGCGGATGGGATAAGCGACGGCGGGCTCGCTCGCCGGCCCTCCCGTCAGGACTATGTTCACTTCCCCTGGCTTCAGACCTGGTGTGACCATGGTCCAACGTCCTAGAACTCCCAAACAGTACCTAAGAACTCACCCGATGTCCTGCCTGTGGTGACGGTCAATATCTCCCCCAATGTTCCAACGTTCTTTCTCTCAGTAACATTTACTAACTCACCCGCTATTTTTTTTATCCTGTGGGATTTGAGGATCGACTATACCTGTATAGGAAGCTAAGGTGGAATTGCTTCTTTCCTAGCGAGTGTTGTGCTCGGGACCAAGGTCCAGTTGTTAACCATCTCGGTTTTAAGTATATGCTAGTCAGGACAGAAAACTCTGACACCGCGATGCAGGTTTGGTGACACCGCGACGTCAAAGTGTATGCTGTGGCAAAGCATGTATCAGCGCCATCCATTAGGTAAGAACTACCACTACTAGTCTGTAGTTTCGCGTCGATAGATGTCGCCACAATCCCTGTATGTTACCCAATGTCCCAGTGTTTTATAGCTCCCAGTGACAGGACCCCACTCACCCGATGTTCTGGTGGTCCTGCCTATTGGCGAGGGTCTGTATCTCGTAGGGCCCGCGCTCCAGTACGCTGCGGATGGGATAAGCCACGGCGGGCTCGCTCGCCGGCCCTCCTGTCAGGACTATGTTCACTTCACCCGGCTTCAGACCTGGTGGGGAAGGATGACAAGGTTTACTTTTGATCTTATAGCTTTGGATGCATGCGAAGACAAATTTCAATGATGATTGAAATGATTCAAGTACGGTTTGTTGATTTGCCCATAAACAATGAGAACAGACAAAGTGGTACAATCTGCTACCTTTTAAATTTCAACAAGGGCTTCTGCGGAAGACCAGCTTCTTGCCATGCTCGTAAGAGCAGCCTGACGTCTTGTCTAGACCTGTAGTAGACTAGTCTCGTGCGCTGCGACGAGGCGCCTCTAAGGCTCTTACAGAAGTCCTGGCTCCGTAGGGCAACGTAGGACCGATCGTTGTGGAAATCCTCGGGTGGACCTGCAGTAGACTACAGTTATGTGAGCTACGATGAGGTTCCTTTAAGGCCCGTATACAAGTCATTATGGCTCCACTTTCCTCAGCGGAAGGGTTACCTAGAAGATACCTGTAGTGGACTTAGGCTTGGTGCGCTGCGACGAGGCGCCTCTAAGGCTCCTAGGCTCCTACAGAAGTCCTGTCTCCACTCACCCCATCGCGAAGGCCGCTGCTGCGTGTGCTGGGCCGCCGGCGTGTCGCCGGCGCGCCAGTCGCACTTGATCTCGCCGCACCGCCGGACCACCGTCTCGATGCGCTGAGACGAAGGCGCCTTGTCTTAGCGCATCGAGAAGAGCGCGCAAGAGTAAGGCTCCTACAGAAGTCTTTCTCCTGTCTCACTCCAGCGGGAGAGCAGGCTGACGTGTTGTCTAGACCTGACTACAGTCTCATGCGCTGCGACGAGGCGCCTTTAAGGTTCCTACAGAAGTTCTCCTGGCTTCACTTGGGTCAGAAACCTGTAGTAAACTTGCGCTGCGACAAGCCTTAAAGGCTCCTGCAGAAGTTCTCCTGGCTTACTCCAGCAGGAGAGCACTCTGACGTCTGTCTCGACCAGTAATAGACCACCTGGAAGTAGACTCCAAGTCCTGACTCCGCTCACCCCATCGCGATGAAGCGCCTTTAAGGCTCATACAGAAGTCCTTCTGTCACACTCCAGCGAGAGGGCAGCCTGACTACAGTCTCGAGCACTCCCAACGATCTAGTGACGATTGCGGAATGCACCTGGATACGAGCAGCGTCGTTGTGGGAGGAGTCACCTTGGGGGAGGTCTTTGTCGAGCAGTGGGCGTCCTTTGGCTGAAATAAACGAGCACTCATCTTATCCCAAAGGTTACCTGAATATTTAAACCTGTAATAGACTTTGGCCTCATGCGCTGCGACGAGGCACCATTAGAGGCTGCGCAAACGTAGACACAAGTTGCTTTCACTTGACTTTACGCCACTCAAAGACTCTATTTCTTTCTATGGTGTGCCGTGTCGATCCAATGCTTCTGTAAGTAGATACTCACCCCATCGCGAAGGCCGCTGCTGCGTCTGCTGGGCCGCCGGACCACCGTCTCGTTGTGCTGCGACGAGGCGCCTCTAAGGCTACTCTATAGAAGCCCTGGCTTCACTCACTAGAGCAGGAGAGCAGCCTGACGTCTTGCTTAGACCTGTAGTAGTCTACAGTCTCATGCGCTGCCTCCTGGCTTCACTTACACCAGTGGGAAGAGCCATCTTGACCAGAGACCTAGTATACTTGCGACGAGTCACCCTTTAGAGGCTGCTAAGTGTTTCCTATCTCCACTCACCCCACCGCGAAGGCCGCTGCTGCGTGTGCTGGGCCGCCGGCGTGTCCCCGGCGCGCCAGTCGCACTTGATCTCGCCGCGCCGCCGGACCACAGTCTCGATGCGCTGCGATTGCGGCGAATCCAACGCCGGGTCTATGGGTACTGTTCCTGATAGGTGCTGGAATATACCGACATCTTAATAATATGACTATAACGGAACTTAGCTAGAGAGTGATAAATATCTCCAGACCAACCCATCTGGTTAGCATAAGGCAAGGCTGCTCAACCTTTTGAAGAGTCGGGCCAAACGGTGGATTCAGTCGTTAACGACGGGCCACCTACATTTTTGATAGCTAACTTCAGAGAGATCTTAAAGTTTGTACTGTGCTCGGCGGGACTTTTTATTTGGTGCGTTTTTTTTTTCAAACTGTACATGCGCGGGCCACTTAAAATTCTTTTGGGGGCCACACTGTGGCCCGCGGGCCTGGAGTTGAGCAGCCTTGGCATAAGGAGTGGAGGCAATGTCCTTAATTGTCCTATGGTAAGCTCCTGCAGTAGAGACTAAATAAGCTAATGATGACACTATGAATTAAATGAAATAATGACACTATGAATTTCAAATACTCAAGTCGTCTTAAGAGAAAGCGGTCGCGAAGGAAAACCGTGATTTTTGGTGTGTTTATTACTTTATCTGTCTCCTGTCTTTGTCTCACTCGTGAACTGATGCTTAAACGTTGTCTAAAGTTAAATAACGGTCGTAGGTTTCCGCTTTGGGTCGTGGCCGCCTTACACATGGGATAGTTATTAAAGTATAAATTCCAAAAGTATCAAAATAAATTACCTGATTAGCAACATCGCTCTGATACGCCATAGCCATCTGCTCCAACATCTCATAGCTGTCGGCAAACTTCTCTTCCCCCTCCACTTCTAAATCCTTCTGATACACGTCCCCTTGCTTCTGGTACTGATCGCCCTGTTTCTGATAGCTGTCGTTTTGCTTCTGATAAACATCACCCTGTTTCGTATACGATTCAGTCTGTTTCGAATAAGAGTCGCCCTGTTTCTGATAATTGTCCCCTTGTTTCTGATAGGTGTCCCCTTGTTTCTGATAGGTGTCCCCTTGTTTTTGATAGGTGTCCCCTTGTTTCTGATATGTGTCCCCTTGCTTCTGATAACTGTCCCCTTGCTTCTGGTACAGATCCCCGTATTTCTGATAGAGGTCCCCCTCCTTCTGATAAATATCTCCCTGTTTCTGATAGGTATCCCCATGTTTCTCATAGATCTCGCCCTGCTTTTGATAGACATCAGCCTGATCGGTTTTAATTTCGTAATAAGTTTGGGAGGGTTCTGCTTTCTGATCTGTTCTGTTGTCTTCAGATGGAAGAGCAATATCTTCCAAATTGGTAGTTGTGATTGGATCGTCGGGGAGGGGTATGGAGTGAGATTCCTCTAGCATATTATTATTCGGCGATTCAATTTCTTGAACTGGCTCTGGGGTCGGTTCCTGTAAAGTTAAAGTTTTAAGATTTATGTCACACTTGTCAATTATTTTATAAGTTCCTACACCCGTTTCCTTATTTTTATTGTCAATTAATACTTTCGCTCACTTGAGATGCAGTTCAAAAGCTTCCAAGTTGTGGATAAAAAACTACTTTCTTAAATTTTCTAAGCTACTACATAAAAATCACATGTGAATTCCTATTAGATGTATGTTAAGTTATTACAACAGTCACAAAACACAATTGGGCAGAGCTAAAAGATACATTTTAAAGGTGATCAATCACTTTCTATGAATCGTTGGTACCAGTACTAAGTTCTTTTTACAGCTACAAATTTCATGTCGTTTTTATGCCTTCTTATACTACACTCGCGAGCAAAAGTATGGAATCACCCCATTAGTTTCGAGTGATCATTAGAACTAAATGACTATGAAGATTCAATTAAAAATGGTACCAGTTTAAAGATTATATTATAAATGTGGGGACCTATAAGTGGTTATCAAGTGTTATTAATTGTAAAATAATCAATTATGTAAACCCTGGTCTTCCTAATATAAATAAATAAATAAATAAACTTTAGTTTGACACTGAGTTCTTCAAATCTTTCGGAACAAAACACAAGATGGTGATTCCATACTTTTGCTCGTAAGTATAGTATAATATTGTGTTTATTTGAGATTGCTAACTAATGTATTTCTCTAGAAAACTAAATTAGAAAAAAGCTAAATTCACCTAGAAATTATCTTTTCTGTAATGACACTTTATTCTAAAACCTTTTTTTGTAACGTACGTTGGACTAATGCCACCCAAATCGCAAGCACAAACAGAATCCGTAATCGCATAAAATGTTATTAATCGCAATAAATACAAGACTTCGCAAGTAACATATTATTGCTACACTGACAGATGATTAAACGAACTATTGATTTTGGTTTTATCTGTACAAACCAAAAACCTTACAGACCCAATACACTGAACTGTCCCATCTGAGACATTGACAGGGGGCGCCACCGTCAATACCGGATCGCTGGTTCCGATTATTTCCATATCGAACGATGGTGGCACCCCCCTGCCAATGTCACGGGAAGGACAGTCCAGTATATTGGGTCTTTAACCGATTGACTTTCAGCGTTCCATTTTACGTATCTTAGATGAAATCATTAATAAGTTTTCTTTACTGTATAAGACTTACAGCATCAGTTAAGATTCTCATTTTTACCGTATAATATTCCTTAATGTATGCGTAATATATCAAAAACCTACCAATGTACAACTCGGTTTACCATAACGGTGGTTCACGTTTTAACATAAAATAATACTAATAAAATACACTCAACATCAAATAAATCGCACCTTCCGCGGCGCGAACTTTAAAGATTTTCTTCTGACACAATCATGGTGCCCCAACAATATTGGTGTTATTTGAAAGCCCAATAAATAAACTTAAAGAAAAATACATTTATTTTTTTTATAAACAATTAACAGGTACCATAAATGTCTGAAAAAAGCCCTCACTTGGGGTTCACTTCTGGGACCAAGTAGATCAATTTTTGTGGTTATAAAACCAAATAATGATCTCACGTGTCCTCTTTAACAGATGGATAGCGATTAATCCCAATTTAACAGTTTTATAGCCATAAAAGTTGGCTCAATCGTAACTACCTGTCGCTTTAAGAAAACTGAATCCTTCTAAAGACACATTTTTGGGGTAAAAACCTTTCCTTTAATGAAATGAAGTTTAGAACTAGGCTTTCAAATGGTACCGATATTGGTGGGAAGTGGGGATGCATACGTTTGAAAAGTGCTTGTCGCGGGAGGTGCGATTTATTTGACGCCGAGTGTATTTGATTGTATTTGATTTTGATTTACCTTCACTGGCTCCACGACTTCTTCTTTAGTCTCCACCTTCTCAGGCGGCGTAGATTGGTCTTGCAGCACCTCACAGCTCTCTTCTTTAATATCTACTATCGGCGGACTAACTGCTTCTTTAGGTGATGCTACAGGGGACTCCACTTTCTCCTGCTTTATATGTATGTTACTACCTACAAAATCTTTTTGTAGTTCTTTCACGTTAATAATTTCTCTTGGTTTTTGCCGTCTTGGAGAGAATTCATCGTCGCTCATTCTTTCTGTTTTTATGTTGTTTAGTACATTAACGTCGAACAGTTCGTCGCTTTCTGAAGATTGTTTACGTTTCTTCTTTTTATCTTTTTTCTTTTTAGCGGCTAGTTCTTTCTTCTTCTGTTTCCTCTTTCTTTCTTCTTCGGACTCGCTGTCGGAGCTGCTAGTGCTTGAAGATGAGCTGCTAGAAGATTTCACTTGCACTTTCTTCTTCTTTTGGATTTTCTTGAGTTTTAGTTGCTTTTTCTTTTTGATTTTCTTTTTCTTTTCTACAATTTAAAACAGATAGTTTATTAATAACTTGCGAGGTTAATTTTATAATATTAAGCTTACTTAGGATATTCATTTTTTATCAAATTAGCCTTAAACAGTTTATCTACTTTTTAGTTACGAATTTGAAAAATACAATGTAGTCCAGTCAAGAAAGTCAAAGTCAAAGTCAAAGTCAAAATATCTTTATTTGTTTAGACTAATAAATAGTTCTTACAAATCGTCATAAAATATGCTCTTAAGGAGCCTCTACATGTCTCATAATCTTTTTACCCTACCAGCGCTTCGAGACCAACATTTGGCAAGTGCTGAGAAGAAGCGCCGCAACAAACTCAGTCACCACTGTCTGCCGGTTAATATAAATAAATAGAAATAGTAGTAGTAGGTACATTCGATTCAGGAGCAGTTCACTGAATTTACCATGCATTCTTGTATGGTGTTTCATAAGAATGGGTAGGTATACAAGATTGCGTGGTATATTAAACAAGGTAGTGACGTGCTAATATCTAGACTAACATATTAAGGTACTAGTAGAAATGACTCGCATACATAAATTTGAATAACTTGGATTGACCAGTCCCCGAAAGCAGCGCCTGTTCACAGACATGACGAGTGAACCAGCCATCGCTTCACTCGACCATATTAGAGGGAATGTAACGAAAGAGATATACAGGGAAATGCGTATACAGGATGGAAACGATAAGTGATCTCACTCGATTATTTCTAAACTATTGATACCGTTTGATAGAGCTCACGAAGCACTTTCAGGATCAGTAACTAGTTTTTTGATATCTTGTATAGTTTAGAAATAATCGAGTGAGATCACTTATCGTTTCCACCCTGTATAATATACCGCGTTTTGAGCAGTCGTTGACTGGGCTAATGATACTGTTTAACAAGACTCATCAAGGGAATTTATTTTTAATTTATCTATAGCCTTATACCATGGTCTTAATAAAGTTAAAAATCCTATCCTACTAATATTATAAATGCGAAAGTTTGGATGTCTGGATGTTTGTTGCTCTTTCACGCAAAAACTACTGAATGGATTTTGATGAAACTTTACAGTATTATTGTTTATAACCCAGAATAACATATAGGCTATAATTTATGACGATCTGTCACAAACTAAATTTCACGCGGGTGAAGCCGCGGGCAAAAGCTAGTATATTATAAAGGAAATAATTAAGTACCTTTCTCATCTCCAGAGTCGTCGCTGATCTCCTCGACCTTCGGTGTTTTCTTCTTCTTCTTCTGTTTGTCCTTAAGGCGTTTCTTCATCTTCTTATCCTTGCGACGCTTCTTTGCCAACTTAGCCTTTAGTATCTTACTACCCTGTAAATTACAAATGATAGATTGAACCACATAATGAATACTAATTACTTCTTCGTACAGAAATGTCAATTAAGTTAAATATTTAAAAAAATACCACATGTTATTGCATTGCATAGGATCCACGTGTCTACTGAATCGTTATATTCATAGAAAATACTTCATAAAAGATACAAAAGTGACTGACTGACTGATTGAAAGACTGACATAGTGATCTATCAACACACAGCCTAAACCACTGGACGGATCGGGCTGAAATTTGGCATGCAGGTAGATGTTATGACGTAGGCATCCGCTAAGAAAGGATTTTACGAGACAACTCCTAAGGGAGTAAAACGGGATAAAGGCGTACGAAGATGCGGGCGGCCGCTAGTATTTGATATAAACGTTATTGTCATATACAAATGTAATTTAAAATATTTTCTCCTCAACGGCCATCAGTTCGATGAACTATACTGGTCATCACAAAAATCGGCCCACCTACGTTTTACAGGAAAACTCGTTTCTACTGACACAATCATGGTGCCCCAATAATATTGGTGTTATTTGAAAGCCCAATAAAATTAAATATCCTTAAAGAAAAACACATTTAATTTCTTAATAAACGATTAATATAAACGCGATATACAATAAATATGACTTGAAAAAAGACATCACTTTGGGCTCACCTCTGGGATCAATTAGACCAATTTTTATGGTTATAAAACCAAATAATGATCTCACGTGTCCTCTTTAACAGATGGATAGCGATTAATCCCAACTTAACAGTTTTATTCTTAAACTGCATCTACATTTATGGATAAGTTCACGATAAAGACACTCAATTTAGGCATGTAAAAAATCGTCAATAATTTATAATTTCTATCTAAATTATTCCATAAAAATACAATTTTCTAGTAGACTGTAAGTAAGGTCTAAATATTATTCTAGATTCTATAACAACAAACTATCAAGATGAGCCTGTATTCTGCAGTTATGAATTTAGCATTATGCATCTTAGTTTCTTAGCAATTTACAGGTTCAAATCCCACCTGAGGCAATAGTTTTTAAGTTTTACAAAAGCCTATCTTCAACCTAAGTGTCTATCTAAATCTATTATACAGGGTGTCCCAAAAACAATGGATAACCCTGTAACCATCGATAGGCCTCGCCATGGTCTCCCTAACGTCCAATTTTGACCCCAGTAAAAATATCACCGTTTTCAAGATTTTTAAGTTTTTGTGCATTTTTAGAAAATTGCCACCTGCGATTACTTTTTCTCATGCCATTTCTACAAATGAGGATATTTTTCAATCTAGTTTTTTTCCTTATCACAAAGGATAGTTGGGCTATCAAAAGAAAAGATTAAAGTTCAACAAACTAGTTTAAAAGTATGAACATTTTAAGAAATTGCAGAGAAGAAAGAAAAATTAATTCATTGTCTTGCACTTTTGATCAGCCATCGTGTAAAAAAAATGTAGGAAGACCATCGTAAACGCGATATACAATAAATATGACTTGAAAAAAGACATCACTTTGGGCTCACCTCTGGGATCAATTAGACCAATTTTTATGGTTATAAAACCAAATAATGATCTCACGTGTCCTCTTTAACAGATGGATAGCGATAAATCCCAACTTAACAGTTTTATAGCCATAAAAGTTGGCTCAAGCGTAACTACCAATTTTTGAAGCAGTGACTCTGGATTCTTCTACAGACACATTTTTGGGGTAAGAATCTTTCCTTTAATGAAATGAATAAACTAGGCTTTTAAATGGTGCCAATATTGGTGGGAAGTGGGGATGCATACGTTTGAAAGTGCTTGTCGCGGGAGGGTCGATTTTTGTGATGACCAGTACCTCTAGCATGAACAACTTTCGTCTTCGAATCGTTTGCGTATTCGATAAAATTCGATACTCAATCTTCGAATTAAACGATAACGTGACAATTTTGATTCTCAAAATAAGTTTCGTGCAACCACATCTCATACTAAGTTCACTTTAAGACACGTTCACAAGGGCGCTGTTGTAATTTTCTTACTAAATCTTTTGATGGCGATTCGAGTATGCAAACGATTTGAACTCGAAAGTTTTTCATGCTAGCCGTACAGTGTATGTGCCTCGCCAAACTCGTTATGAGTTTCTGCTTCACTCATAAGTAAAAGTAAAATAAAATACCTTCTTTTTCAGCTTTTTCTTCTTCTTGCTATCGTCGCTTTCGGTGGGCGTGGTCTCGCTCGAAACTGAGTGCTTGCGCTTGCGCGACTTCTCTTTTTCTGTCTTTAACTTCTTGCTGCTAAGATAATTTGCAGAACATATTGTCAATATTGATTTATTGAGATACAAGTGCAATAAATAGGGTAAGTGTTGGTTCAGATTATGTCGGGCCGAGATCGTGGGTGGATTCGAGGCATAACTGAGGCAATGAGGGCTATCGTTTTTATACTTAACCCCTGGCGATTGACAGGACCTTACTCTACAGTGGCGCCATCTTGATGAGTGCAAATGCGATAGTCCTCCTACCACTTTAGCGCTCACCAGTTGGTGCCACTGTCTTCGCTACTAGCAAGTGACAGGACCTTACTTTACAGTGGCGCTAACTGGTGAGCGCTAAAATGATAGCCCTCATTGAATATTGACAAGTTATAAATCATGCTTGATATATCTGTTGGCCGAACATAGTGTAAACCCACCTTTAACGCTACCAATCTATCGCCCGTATTCACAAACGATGCTTGCTTATGTGAAGCAGAAAATCGAACGCACAGCGTTGAATAGAGCTCTGTGATTGGTTCATGTGTCACCCGGTGCGTCTTACACTGTGAGACCTCATAGTAATGTTTGTGAATACGGACGTATGAATATACTCGTGTCCATAAAGATAAAAAATTTTAGTGTTTTTTTAATCTACAAAAGCGGGAAACATATTTGACGTAGTGAAGATGATGACGAAAACATATTTTATCTTATATGGAAAGAATAGAAATGCAAGGAAGAATATCAATGGAACTTCACAGATATTTATTGATTTTACGAGTAAATTGGTCTCTATTGAAATCAATAAACTGTATACATACACACTCACACATTTAACACCAACACATACACAACAATCATTAAAGCACACACGTGAATTAGAAATAAAAATTATTATTAATTATATGCTAAATAATATGGTAAAATAAATCACAAATATCATTTCGTACAATGCTGGTGGTGGAATTGTGGTGGTAACACGCCATAAAACATGCTGAAGATTCAAGGACAAGGTGATTTTTTTAAATATTTAGATTACGGATAATCGGCCTTCAGTTTTGTAGAGACGTCTGTCTAAAGCCTTGTCCACATGTGCAAAAGTTACAATACGCGATGCTTTTGTATCAGGCACATTGACGTCGGCATATTTGTAAAATTGCAAATACGCCCTGATGCATTATGGTTTTAGTTTAGACAATTAGAAAAACGAAAATAACGGTCTGCAAAAGCGAAGCTAATCGACCGAAAGCAGTCTCTTTCTAAATGAATATTGAAAGTGTAATTAGTAAGTAAGAAATCAGTAACAACATTTTAAAATAAGCTGGTATGAATGACGCTAAAATAAAAAACGTTCAATTAAAGTACATCGAACACCAGACACCGTCCAAACAAAACGTGAAAAGGGGGGGATGGAAGGTATACGGTGAAAGTGAAAACGAAGGTAGGGGCATAGTGGGGGGCATAATAATGTCTACGTGTACCATTGGACAGTGACAGGCTCGGGACTGAGAGAAAATACGTCTGCAAAGCCCACCGCCGACGTCGCCCGTCTGTAGAGAGCACGTTAGTACTAATGAAAAACAATGTCATTTTCTAATACTAGCTAGTAATAAATTAGTTTTTTCACCCATTTAATCAGTTTATCTAAAAATGTCAAAATACGCAAGTAAGGGCGCAATATGTAATTCTGGCGCAATCGAGTAAATAGTCTTAAAACGACCATCTTCTGGCCCTCAGCGTAAGCAATTGCACAATTTTATTATTTGTATCAAGGCACCCAAGAGTCCCACTATGGTATAAAAAAGATTAGTTCTTTCAATATTTTCACATTCAAAAGTGTACAATTATATTCAAAGTCGTACAAAGACATTTCGAAATTGTTTATTTTTTAACTCTTATTTCTTTGAAAAAGGTCATTCTACATTACATACAGCAACTTCACATGATATAAGTATACTAAAAAAAATCCCACATGAATGACCCACTTATTAGTAGCATTAGTAGAAAATCACCAGTTTCATAGATACTATCACCCGTATTCACAAACGATACTTGCTAAAGTGAAGCAGCAACGTACGCACAGCGTTGAATAGAGCTCTGTGATTGGTTCGTGTGTCACCCTGTGCGTCCACGCGCACTGTGAGACCACATAGTAATGTTTGTGAATACGGGCGGGTTTTAGAATCGCGCTGACCGCTCGCTGATCGTCGGCGCTGACAGATCAATATGTATGTAATTGAAGGGAACGTTTCTGAGTGACGATGATCGCTCGGCGCCGTAGCTTCATACATTTTGGCTGTCAGCGCTGACGGTTAGGCCCTTTTCACACGTCCCGGTTGCCGGCTAACCGGCGCCGGGTATCCGGTGGTGAAGTGTATGGGCATGGTACGTAGCTTTCACATGTTCCGGCGTAATTAATCCGGCATGCCCATACACTTCACCACCGGGTACCCGGCGCCGGTTAGCCGGCAACCGTAACATGTGAAAAGGGCCTCAGTGTGACTCTAAAACCAGCCTAAGGCCCTTTTTAGCTACGTACCATGCCCATACACTTCACGACCGGGTACCCGGCGCCGGTTAGCGGGCAACCGGGACGTGTGAAAAGGGCCTAATACTAAATTAATTAAACAATTGATAGCCAAATAAAACCACTCACTGTTTCTCACTATCCTCTTCCACGTCGGATTCCTGGCTCCATCCCTCGCTGCTAAGCTTGACCTTTTTGACTTTCTTCTTATCTTCTTCTTTCTCAGTCTCTTCTGGCTTCTTCTTCTTTCTGGCGACCTGGCGGATGGGCGTGGTGCTTCGAGAAGTGTCCTTGGGCTCGGACACGTCTGGCCAGACGGCTTGCATGAACCTGTATTAATGAAGCATTGATTATGTTTCCTTTCCCGCTATGTTCTTATGATTAATTTCATTGCGGGTCCAATGAGTTTAACTTTCCCCGGGACAATATTGACCGTCACTGGTTGGGTTTTTATTGGTGGTCAAGCTGTAGACCCTGGCTACACAGGAGTTGCAGCGGTGGGAACGAGAGGTGGGAATAGTCCTGTTTGTTGTCTTTTAATTGGTATTTTCCTGTCCAGTCCCGTAAGTCCGCTAAATACAGGGAAACCCTACCGCCCATAGGAATCCTAAAATTGACTCTCCATCACACCATAGCCTTATAAAAAGTCAAAGCTTTTATTCAGTAGTTAGGCACTTTCTCGCCCTTTAAGTCTCTTTACCCTTAAAAGTGGGGACACCTTCAGTATTCCTCTTAGCTAAAGACACAAAATGAGCAGATCATTTCGTATTTTTTTGTCTAGGAAATCTGCCAATCTTAGACATAAAGGATATAGAATTTATTGCATTCATTTACAAATCAAACACCCTATCAATTTTGATTGACTCCGCTCATTCAACTGAGTCAAAATTCGCTGCCAATATTTCTTCCGAGATAGGTTTGAGACAACACTCACGCCCGTATTCACAAACGATTCTTGCTTAAGTGAAGCAGCAAATCGAACGCACAGCGTTGAATACAGCTCTGTGATTGGTCATCCTGTGCGTCCACGCGCACTGTGAGACCTCATAGTAATGTTTGTGAATCATCATCATCATAATTTCAGCCACAGGACGTCCACTGCTGAACATAGGCCTCCCCCAATGACTTCCACATCGCACGGTTGGTAGCGGCCTGCATCCAGCGCCTTCCTGCTACCTTCAGGTCGTCGGTCCACCTTGTGGGTGGACGTCCCACGCAGCGTTTGTATGCATGTTTGTGAATACGGGCATCAATCTCACCTCTGGTACTCTCTGTCCAAGTACATTTCTCCGTGTTGTGGCGTGAACGAGCTGGGATCCTCTTCGGTTTCCCACTCGCTGGGCAGGCGGGTCGGCGTGAAAATTACACAACAATGAGCCTACTGCTCCTATAATTAAGTGCTAATACTCATAGGCAGAAGGCAGCTTCTTGGGTGATGACAGAAAGTCCTTGAACGATTAGTCGCCCAAGACTAAGTTAAGGAATCCAGCCTCGGAGTTGGTTTATGTTTATTCTTCCTTATTTCTTTATTATACTGATGAGATCAAGGCAGCCTTAAATGGTTCCTACATGAATGCAGCTAGATTACGATTGGGTTATTAGACAAAACGTACGTCTGAAGGCCTTAAACTGCATCTACATTTAAGGATCAGTGAACGATAAAGTCACTCAATTTAAGCATGTAAAAAATCGTCAATAATTTATAATTTCTATCTAAATTATTTCATAAAAATACAATTTTCTAGTAGACTGTAAGTAAGGTCTAAATATTATTCTAGATTCTATAACACAAACTATCACGATGAGCCTATATTCTGCAGTTATGAATTTAGCATTATGCATCTTAGTTTCTTAGCAATTTACAGATTCAAATCCCACCTGAGGCAATAGATTTTTTCAAGTTTTACAAAAGCCTATCGTCAACCTAAGTGTCTATCTAAATCTATTATAAAGTCAAAGTCAAAGTCAAAATTTCTTTATTTGTTTGGACTAATAAATAGTTCTTACAAATCGTCATTTTGCTCTTAAGGAGCCTCTACATGTCTCATGTATATGCGTGTCTGGTCCGTGAGCACGTAGAATTTTGTCCAATGACCCCAAGCTACCCATCCTTATCGCTCGCGATTATATTGCTGTCGCGACTGTGCGACGGGCGCCCGCAGTGAGTGTGCGAGCGCGACAGCAACATAGTTACTCGCGAGCTTAGCGATAAGGATGGGTAGCTTGGGGTCATTGGACAAAATTCTACGTGCTCACGGACCGGGCTTTAAACCTATCTTCTAAGTTTGTCTAAATCTACTCATTATTTACTAAACCTATCTTCTAAGTTTGTCTAAATCTACTCGCTACATTCACTCCACTATATAAATAAATAAATAAATATTTGGACTTTTACACTGCGCTTCTAGTCCCAAACTAAGCAAAGCTTGTACTATGGGTACCTACTAGACAACGCGATATAAACATACTTAAATACTTTTTTTTTAAATACATACATATTACACATAGAAAACACCCAGTCCAATACAAACAAATATGTTAATGCACACAAATGTTTGTACTGTGCGGGAATCGAACCCGCAACCTCCGGAATACTAGTCCGTTTCGAACCACTACACCAAACGGCCGACAAATATACCTCCCAAATAAAATATCCCTCCTCTCACCTACCTCTGATACTCCCTATCCAGATATATTTCCTCAGTATGCTGCGGGGTCAACGACCCTGGCGGGGGCGGGGGCCGCTCCTCGTCCTCCCAGTCGGACGCGGGCGCGGGCGCGGGGCCGCAGAACGCCCCGCGCGGGTACCAAGCCCGGGCCTTTAGCGGGGCCTCGTCGGGGATCCTGTAGAGATGAGACGTATTTACTAGAACAGATCCACACACTAGGTATTTTACAGTACTAGGCGGCACCTATTCCAATTTTTTAAATACTTGATCCACCTAGTATTTTATAAATTACACGATTTCCGACCCTACCATCAAAGTAATAGAGGTTATTATTGCGTAATCCGTAGTCGTGTATTACGCGCACCTAGTATTTCTCGCTAAGCTTATGTGCGAACGTAGAGATTCACTCCGTCTCTGTCTGACCAAACAAATTTGGACGCGACGAAGCAAACGCACACAAACGTAGTCAAACCATATTCATGTAATAAGAAATAATATGTAAATATTTTTATGAAATTGATATCTTTTAAATGCCGTGTAACTGTCACACTATCCCAGAACTTACTAAGCTTGGGTCTATATGATAAAGTTATTAAACCAACTTCTCTTGTTTTCTCGTAATCATCGCCGAGCACAAAAAATGTATTATATCTCAAAAATGTAATAGGCATTTTACTTCATCCAGTAACGCATATCATTTCAATATAAGTTTGACTATGGGAACAAGCCAGAGCCAAAAAAACTAAGCAGAGCTAGTATCAATTTATAATACAATGATCAAAACATAATATAAATCTAGTTTGATGATATGAATTTATGAAGTATTCAAGTTTAAAGTTTTTCCATTATATTATCCTATCTGATTTGGAAAACTTAGTTTTCCGAAACTACTTTAGTAACTACCTGGTTCAGACACAGGCAGTTTCTAGGTGGTCCTCATTGGCGAGGCACAGAGGCAGTGGCCGTGCGGTAACGATTTGATGCAAATGTACGAGAACTGCCTAGCAACCGCGGAATTATAGCTGTGTCTGTACCAGGCCTTAGGGGACGCCGATGTAAGGGCTTATCGGTGAAACGGGCATAAAAAACAAACAGTCACTTACTGGTCGCAGCCGTAGACACGGTCTACAAGCGCCATCTTGCACATTTCCAGCTCTTCATACACCACGGAACGGTCTTTGACACAGCTGCAGCCTTTGGGGTTCTCCGCGAACCAGATCTTAGGGTGGCTGTGCGTCTCCCTGGAAACAGATATTGATGGATTAGACTCTAGATAATACAAGAAGACTAAAATAGAAAGACACGGGTCTTAACGCGACGTTTATGAATAAGTTACATTATGTACTCACGGCTAGAGGTTTCGGCTGCATCATAGCTGAATTTAGTTGGAATGGAACGCGAAAGTTTAAAATCTTATAATACAAGAAGAAGCTTCGAGTTTACGAAAGTATATCATCATCATCGGTCTATAGCAGTTTACTGTTGGACATACACATAAAGTCGGTACTTAACCGTCCGTCAGCTTGATGGAACATCAGCGAAACAAAACTAAAACATTTTCAAATAAACCAGAATCATTATGTTTCAAATAACTCTCTCTTTGTTGTCTGAAATAGACTGCTTTGTAGCAATAAATAGATAGGGATCTACTATCCATCAATCTACTATCTCAAACTCACTAAATGTAAAAATGTAAAATCTCTATTTAGGCCCAGAACAGACGGTGAAACGCAACTGCAACGAAACTGCAACTTTCTAATTATTCTGATGAATGAAACTGAAACTAAAAGTTTCAAACTGGTCGCGTCATGTGTGGTCTCTCAACGGACGCTATGGCAGAAACTTAGATGCAACTCAAAAGTAACTAGCAGTTGCAGTTTCGTTGCAGTTGCGTTTCACCGTCTGTTCTGGGCCTTACCTGTCTTGCTTAAAAAATAGAAGCTTACTTGTAGCATTTATTCCTGTCGTGCCTGAACAGCAACGGCTGGCATATCTTGAGCACGAAGCTCCACGTCTCCAGTGAATCCACGGTGCTCTTCGACATATTGTTGGCTTCCAACGAATCGTCCAATTCCTTTTCCACCGAAAGACGGTAGTTGTCCGCTTGCCTAGTGCTCGGCCGATACCGGTCCTTTGACTTGTAACCAGGTTCTGTTAACTTGTANAGGGTCATCCATTGTTTTTGGGACACCCTGTATGCTATAGTCTGGTCGGTGAGCACGTAGAATTTTGTCCAATGACCCCAAGCTACCCATCCTTATCGCTCGCGCGTAATTATGTTGCTATCGCGCTCGCACACTCACTGCGGGCGCCCGTCGCACAGTCGCGACAGCAATATAATTACGCGCGAGCGATAAGGATGGGTAGCTAGGGGTCATAGGACAAAATTCTACGTGCTCACGGACCGGGCTTTAAACCTATCTTCTAAGTTTGTCTATTATTATTATTATTGGTTTTTGGGCTTTTATTTGCGCCAACTCGACCAGGTTTGATCTATTGTGGCAGCCCTTGTCTTTAGAGTTCACTGCTTAGTCCCGTTGAGTCTATAAATTTCCAGATTCTTTGGAGCGTGATATCTGCTTGTAAGTTTGTCTAAATCTACTCATTATTTACTACACCTTCTTCTAAGTTTATCTACTCGCTAAATTCACTCCACAACTACATACATCCCCCACTTACCTCTGATACTCCCTATCCAAGTATATTTCCTCAGTATGCTGCGGGGTCAACGACCCGGGTGGGGGCGGGGCGGGGCGCTCCTCCTCCTCCCAGTCGGACGCGGGCGCGGGGGCGGGGCCGCAGAACGCCCCGCGCGGGTACCAAGCGCGGGCCTTTAGCGGGGCCTCGTCGGGGATCCTGGAGATTGGAGAAATGTTTCAACCGTCACTAACCCCAAAGTAACTGAGAATAACAACAAAATGACGAATTTGGTGTTTGATTACTTTCCGCTACTGGTCTGATTTGATTTATTTTATCGCCATCAAAATTACTAAAAATAGACTAACTGACTCTGTTTTCAGGGCTTTTTAAAGCCTACATACATATTTTATGGGTGTCAACTACTCGTTTGTTACTTTCTTATCAAGGCTGTTCTTATGTTTATACCTTTTCTTACACTATACTCATAGCATTAGTGTCATATTTTCTAAAGTCCGGTCGTCGGTAAGAGTGCGTGCGCGACAGCAATATAATTACATGCGAGTGATAAGGATGGGTAGCTTAAGGTCATAAGACGAAATTCTACTACTTGGCAACCGGAATTTACAGATCTTTGACTAACAATAAGCTTTCCTCATTTCTCTCTCATCAAATCATCGAAACAAAACCAAAAAAGATACAAAAAGCCACTCACTGGTCGCAGCCGTAGACACGGTCTACCAGCGCCATTTTGCACATTTCCAGCTCCTCGTAAACCACGGAGCGATCCTTCACGCAGCTGCAGCCTTTGGGGTTCTCCGCGAACCAGATCTTGGGGTGGCTGTGGGTCTCCCTAAAAACGGACATCGATGGATTAGATTCTAGACTTCAGAACAGAACAGTGGTCTTATGCAGTCGGAATAAGAGCGATTTTGCAACAAAAATGTATGGTCTTGTCACGTATATTCACGTAGCTAGAGGGCAAAACGTAACTAGAATATGTATTTGAATTACATGTTTATGTTTTACCAATCTCTCAATGAATCTGGTTAAGTTAAGAAGTATGTTTAAATCAGTTTGTATAAACTTACTTGTAACATTTATTCCTGTCGTGCCTGAACAGCAACGGCTGGCATATCTTGAGCACGAAGCTCCACGTCTCCAGTGAATCCACGGTGCTCTTCGACATGTTGTTGGCTTCCAACGAATCGTCCAATTCCTTCTCCACCGAAAGCCGGTAGTTGTCCGCTTGCCGAGTGCTCGGCCGATACCGGTCCTTTGACTTATAACCAGGTTCTGTCAACTTGTAACCACTCTCGGTTGACTTGTAACCAGGTTCTGTCGACTTGTAACCACTCTCTGTTGACTTGTAACCACTCTCTGTTGACTTGTAACCACTCTCGGTTGATTTGTAACCGCTTTCGGTAGACCTGTAACCGTCTGAGTAGTTACTACGCTGACTCGATTGCAAGTCTCGCATCCTGTCATCCAATTCAGGTGTCACTGAACCCAAACTCGCGTCGTTTTTGGAATTATCATCGTAATCGTCTTTGGGAGAATCGTATTCAACCAAACCCTTGTCCTGACTAGTCTCATCACTCATATTCTCTTGCTTGATCTCGTTAATAACAGATTCCAAGAAATTATCGTCATTCGCGTCTATCACACCTTCCTTAGTCAAATCTTGGTCATAATCAAACAGTTTCAGATCTATCGGAGAATCGAACGGGTCGTCCTTAACTATCGTCGGTTTATTAAACTTTTCCAGCACCGAATCTTCGTCAAACATGTCTAACGCTTCGTCTTCGGTTGGGTCAATTTCGTATTCGAAAGAATCCATCACTGGTTGCAGTTTCTCTAACTTCGCCGGTTTACCGCTGGGACTTTCGGAACACCTGTCCCTATTCATCAGGCTTGCTTTCAGCAAGTCGGCTGCGTGCTTAGCCCTCATCATCGAGTACCTCGTAGGGTCAACCTTAGGACTAGAAATAGACTTATCCTCATTATCTAAAGACCAAGTATCACAGACTAAATAATCATTTAGATTCACATCTGTTTCTTTAGGAACTTTATCATCTTTTTTCACTTCACGATCTGCGTCCTTTTTATCTTTGTCCTTTTCTTTGTCCTTACTCTTATCCCTATCTTTATCTCTGTCTCTTTCTCTATCCCTCTCCCTGTCTCTTTCTTTACTCTTATCTTTGTATCTATCTTTCCTGTCATCTTTTCTGTAGTCAGAGTGCCTTCGTTCATACTTATCAGATGTCCTGGGTTTGTAACTGGATTCTGATTCTTTTTCTCTGTCTGCTTTGTTCTTGCTTGAGGAGGAAGCGCGGTCGTCCTCGATTTTCTCTTTTTCATTCGGCACGAATTCATCTTTTTTTCTTTGAAACGGATTGTCGTAGTCAGGCAGAAGTTTCTGGTAGTCGAATTTGAAATCTTTGCCAGCAGCCTTCGCCTTTTTAGCCTCACGTATGAGCTCATCCACCTTTGTTTCGTCTAAAATCGAAATAAAGTGTTAAACGCAATGTAAATGATAATATTTTACTTACTAATTACTTCTAAATACTCATATGACTAACTTATTTTAACTAAACTACATAATGTAAAAGAGTTTGACCCAAAATTAGTGATGCCATCTTTTAAGCTTTCCTCTAATTATAAGTCACCTCACTCCTTTTCAACATAAAAATGATAAATTCTACTTATCTACTTAAATTATTATGCTAGTTCTACATGATAAATAATCAAATAATGGTAATATTCCTACAAATTACAAAGTAAATGAACCTTTATTTCAAAATCCCTGTTACCTTCCTAGTTTTGTCACCACTACCCGTCCTTAACTACAACAAGGCTACAGGCATAGAAAAATGAATAGCAAAATTCTTTCAAATATAATGTCCCGATTTTGTCCCGGTTCCGTTCAAAGTGCATACGCGCGCAGAGTTATGTGTCAGCGCAGACTTAGGCTGATTTTAGAATCACGCTGACCGCTCGCTGATCGTCGGCGCTGACAGATCAAAATGTATGTAATTGAAGGGAACGTTCCTGAGTGACGCTGATCGCTCGGCGCCGACGCTTCATACATTTCGGCTGTCAGCGCTGATGGTCAGCATGCGTCAGCGTGACTCTAAAACCAGCCTTATACAAATACACAAGTAATAACAACGCCAGTCAACAGGTCGTAATGTAAATATAACTTATTTAAAAACTCTTTACTGTACGCATCAAAATAAATCGAAACTAAACTTATTAAGCTAAAGAGTTTCTCGAACTTTTTTGGTTGGTTGAAAGCGCTAATCTCAGGAACTACTGGTCTTTGCATAAATATTTTTGTGTTGGATAGCCCATTTATCGGGGAAGGCTATATACCATCACGTTTCGACATATTCACGCGTACAAAGTCGCAGGCACAGCTATTTGTCTAGCTTTTAACTCAGATAGTGCCTAAGGCTGGTTTTAGTGTCACGCGGACCGTCCGGCACGGCCAATCTGTATGAACTTCTAGGGAGCGTTTTAGAGTAATGCGGTCCGGAGGAACCGCTCGCTCCCTAGCAGTTCATACAGATCGGCTGTGCGAAGCGATCCGCACTAACAGTCCGCGTGACACTAAAACCAGCCTATCGAGGTATAGGATCGGCACGGTAGGGGTGACAGAGTATCTATATCTGAAGATCTTAACTGAACTGTTGCAGACGTTTGACGTTACAAAAATACCCTAGGGGCGTCCATTAATTACGTGAGATATTTAGTCAACAAAAACCTCACTAAATCTCACGTGGGGGAGAGGGGGGGTCTCGGGAAATATCACGTATTTTTTGCGCAAGAAATAAGAGTAATATTGACAAAAAACTGGGTTATTTTAAGTAACATAATTTTTTTTTTACACTGCTTTTGTGAACACTAAGGATGCAGAATCATAAATGTTGAAATTAAGAAAATTAAAAGAAATTTGAAGTTTTTGTTCTCATAATCGTTTTGTGCTAGATTTTATTAGTGATTGTAATATAATCGAAGTATAGCCTGACCAGGAACATAAAAACCCTCGCCATGTTGCGGAAAACTAATGGTACTAATTTCTTTTAATGGCAACAGTAACTGAAAACTTCATTGACATGTCACCTTGCATGTCAGTCTATTGCTGTCAAAGTGTAAACAAACTTTATTTTAAATGTGCGCAATTGGTTTTATGAAATAAATTGCTAAAATATTTTTATAGTCGTGAAAGAAAAGTGGTTCACAACTAAGGGTTCGGACAATATTTTCATTGAATAATGTTTCCGACAAATGCTGTCAAATTGACTGACATGTTTATCGTATAGTACAGTCCACTATGAAAATAACCTGTGGTTTGTTTCAACTACCTATTTTAAAAATTTTGTCACTTTCTAAGTGTTGAATTTTATGGGATTGGGAAAGAAGTACCGAGTTTGAAGCGTTCATGAGCAGACATTGCAGTTGAATATTCAAGTTCTGAATTTGATTATTGATGAATAATAAAATAAATCTACTAGCTCGATTGATGGTTTCATTTAATTTATTTAAATAAGTTTACTTATAATAATATTTTTTCGTTAATTTATGAAAATATCAAATTAGCCCGTAATCCTGAATCCTGATACATAAAGTTAGCCTATTAATTTAACACAGGTACGACTGTACTCAGTGTTGCACTATCAAATGCAATTGAGGCGCCTCTATGCCAGGGTTTTTATGTTCCTGGTCAGGCTATATAGACATTGCAAATAGTCATTTTTAAAAATATCACGTCACGTCACGGGGGTCAGGCAAAATCTCATCAAATCTCACCAAGGAGGGCGTGGGAGTCGAAAAATAGCCAAAATTGTCTCACGTAATTAAAGCACGCCCCTCTAACCGGGCCGCTCCCATACCCCAGGCACTGACTAAGTTAAACACTAAACCTGTAAATAAATGTTTTGCTATCCATTTCACTATGCTACTATGAAGTCTCCCGACTCACGCTTCGTCTTGTGGCATCGTTTCTTCCATCGCTTTTGCCTCTTGGTCGGTTGGTGAACTCGGAACTTGCGTGCTTTGACCACACAACAAGCGTTATAACCAAGTTGACTACAATGGAATCCAACAATATTGCACACAAATGAAAAATAAATGAAAGAGCTTCCTCGTTGTGGATAAAAAAATAATGATAAAAAAAATAAGTCCCAGAAGCTATGCGGCGACAGTAGCGACGGCACATTCTGGACATCATGGAGAGCCAGAATTGACCATGGAGGGAGTCCCAGTGGGAATTCTGCTTTCATCGCCGATAATCACAGAACAAATCTGTTCATAGTCTTCTGACTGATCGCATAATGGAATAAGGGGAAAAAAATAAGTCCAAGTAACAAGTAAGTAAGCAATCATCATCATCATTTCAGCCATAGGACGTCCACTGCTGAACATAGGCCTCCCCCAATGCTTTCCATGTTGATCGAGTAAGTATTTATTGGCAATGGACTGTCTGTTCTGTGACGCAAATCAACTTAAGTTATATGAAAAGAGATTTCTGTTTTATAGTCCGGTCGCCGAGCACGTAGAATTTCGTCCAATGACCCCAAGCTACCCATCTTTATCGCTCGCACGTAATTATATTGCTGTCGCGACTGTGCGACGGGCGCCCGCAGTGAGCGTGCTCGGCAACCGGACTTTAGTAAAATGTTGTCTGCAACATAGCTGNTTGGTCTTTGCTAACATATTTTTGTGTTGGATAGCCCATTTATCGGGGAAGGCTATATACGTTGCGACATTTTCACGCGTCCAAAGTCGCAGGCACAGCTATAGGTCTAGCTTTTAACTCAGATAATGCCTAACGACTGAGTAAATACAAAACAAATGAGTAGGTCATCTTCATAGAAACGCACGCAATATACGTATGCGGCGCGCACGCACACACTGACAAAATTGGGCGCAACCACGACTGGCTCCCCGCTAATCCACGCTAAATTTTGTCAGTGTGTGCGTGCGCGCCGCATACGTGTTGGCGCGCTCACATACAAACCGCGCTCGGTGCGTTTCTATGAAGATGACCTACTCATTTGTATTTACTCTGCTAACGAGGTATATTGCGCAGCACGGGAGGGATGACAGAGTATCTAAATCTGAAGAAGATCTGAACCGAACTGTTGCTGACGTATTTGACTGTATTTGACTACAATCGCACCTGATGTTAAGTGGAATGCAGTCTAGGATGGTACATATCTGCCCTATAAGAGTAGGCGCACACCGTTGATTTTTCGTCGGTCGATAGTTTAGTCGGGCAGTTGATCAGTATGGGCATGTATGGGAGTGCGCACACTACGCCGATTCGATTTGGCCGATTCTTCATACAATTTAAAATCGGGCACAACTATCGGCCAACTAAAAATCAACGGTGTGCGCCTACTCTATGTGCCTGTAAGTAGTGTTTTGCTATCCATTTCACTATGCTACAATGAAGTCTCCCGACTCACGCTTCTTCTTGCGGCATCGTTGCTTCCATCGCTTTTGCCCCTTGGTCGGTTGGTGGACTCGGAACTTGCGCGCTTTGTACCACACAACAAGCGTTATAACCAAGTTGACGACAGTGGAATCCAACAAAATTGCACACAAATAAAAAAAATAATAAAAGAGCTTCCTCGTTGTGGATAAAAAATAATAATAAAAAAGTCCAAGTACTAACGAGTAAGTAAATCAACATCATCATCATTTCAGCCATAGGACGTCCACTGCTGAACATAGGCCTCCCCCAATGCTTTCTATGTTGATCAAGTAAGTATAGTAATTTATTGGCAATGGACTGTCTGTTCTGTGACGTAAAAGAACTTAAGTTATATGAAAAGAGATTTCTGTTTTATAGTCCGGTCGCCGAGCACGTAGAATTTCGTCCAATGACCCCAAGCTACCCCCATCCTTATCGCTCGCACGTAATTATATTGCTGTCGCGACTGTGCGACGGACGCCCGCAGTGAGCGTGCTCGGCAACCGGACTTTAATAAAATGTTGTCTGCAACATAGCTGGATTTTATTGGCTTTTAATAGTAAAGAAACAGCAAAAAAATAAAATTACGACAAATGTGCTGTATGATGCTTTTCTTGACAAGAAAGACAAGGATGTTTTGAAAAGATAAATAAAATAAGTTACTATCAATCAATAAGTGTGCAAACAATGCTATTGCTCTTTAACATAGTACAGTGATTTTGAAAAACTAAGCTTACTCAGTTTTAATTATTATACCTAGTTACTTATTTTAATCTAATATACATAAAGATTTAATGAAACACACACACAAACACACACACACACAGTAAATATCATAAACTATGAATGAAAACTAACAAATTCTTTATGTATTACGTTAAATTAACAGCTGTTCATAACATTAGTAAGGTCAAATTGTTACTGACTAAACTATTGACCATAATAATAACTAGTTTACTTATGTTAATGACAATGAAAGTTTAAATCAATATATTGACCTTAATTATTTTGTCTGGTAATAGTGTAAAATTATTATTATTTATTTATTTAAAGATATCTCACCTAAGAATGTCTTAATGGGGGGCATGGCTTTCGTAGGCATGGCCTTCTCGCTGGTCGAGCTGGGGCATATCAGCCCCAACGGGATGCCCAGTTCCACCAGCTCCATTTTCCGCTTCATATCCTCGATTTCCGAGAGGGTGCGCTTTTGCAACTCCGTGTATGAGTCTGAAAGGTTTCGGTTACATAATGTATATTAGTCATAGTCATAAATGTTTATTGCATCATGTTGGTCTTCATTATAAAGTATTTTAAACATAAATCACATGCAGTTTTTTTTTCTTGAGAAAATGGGAATATGCTCTGGGCCTGAAATAGATAAGTAGAACAGATATCTACTTATTGCTTACTTAGGAAGCACTTTACACAGTAAGGGTACTGTGGTTAAAAAAAACATTGTTTAAAGAAAATGTTCCAAAGAGAGTACCTTATGAATATGTATATGATACGGTCAGTGATAAATGTCAAAATTATGAATAATCGCCGGTTATTATGAATAATTACCGCATGATTTGGTAAATGTGATGTGGCCCAAGGGCCACCCCTAAGCACCCGCCGCACCTTAACCCATTTTTCACTTTAAATCAAAACATTATGTTAGGCATCATGGAAAAGTAATATTATGCAAGAAACATTCCAAACTCATTATGTCAAATTATATTAATATATGATATCAAAACGTTTGAAAGTTTGGCTGTACACGAGCACATACACAAGATATTGTTCTCTTTTATGAAATTTGTTAGTACTAAGGTTTAATTATTAAATAATAATTGTTAAATGTGATTAATTTAATGTGAATAATTATTCATAATAACCGGTTATTATTAATAATTTTCAATTTATCACGTTAACCGTAACATATAGACAAAAAAAGACTAACAGTATCACCATTTTATTAATTAATGGTATTAAGATTTTGATATTTTTATTATTTTCGACAACAATTAAAATTGTACATAATTATTTTAATATGGTGAAACCATTAAGCAAGCAGAATAAAAGATTTATCTACTTGTACAGCATACACAAGACAAATAAAAATGTGCAAATTAAAAGACTAAAAAATATTTGATACTGAAGCCAAATAACCTTGAAAATTTTTCTTACTGGCCCCTGGCTTGGGCGGCCTGGGAGGCTTCTTGTCGGGCTCCACGTCTGGTTTGGGGGTGGTTCGGACACTGCTCAGCTTGCCGATCAACACTGTAGTGCCTGGAAAGTACAAGAACAGATGTTAGATGATGAGAGTCTATACAAAGAAACATTATTTTAAAGTTATTTATAGTAGAAAGGTATTATGGAACTATTCAAGGCATAGTATAATAAAATAGTGTAATTAATACCACAGAATAATAATAATAAGTATTGACATGTATTGATGATTTTGAAGAAAGAACTATGCATGTCATCCAGAAAGGTGTGCAAACATAACATGCATACAATTAGACAGATGATGACATTATCATTATGAATAATCAATTTAGACATGATTATTGTGCTGTTTAGTTAGACAGACAGTAGACATTCTCATTTCTTATTTATTTATAAAGTTCTTTTATACTAAAATACTGCTTTAAGGATTTATAATTGTTTATAATAAGTCATGCAAATGGATACCAAAAGCAGTCATAATGAAATGAAAGTTAATTATTATGCATGTTGTCAAAATGTTAAAAGTACCTTGGATTTGGTCTTTACGTGTACACCCAGATAGCATGAAAGAAAAGTTCATTCATTGATTAATGTGAAACACGTTTTAAAATTAACTATCCGTACAATTTAAAATATCGCAACTAAATTCCATCTAACGGTTTTTGCAGCCATACAAGCTGATAATAAAGTTATTCAAAATCTGTAAGGCCTAAAATTAAGATTAATAGATAGTTGTAATTAATTTTATACATACTTCCAGTGTTAACGGGTTTTGGTACTACAATAGGCGTGATTGGCGTCTTCTTTTGAATGGAGAACGCCCGTAGTCTCTTCTTGGCATTTTCGATGCCTTTCTTGGACAGTTTGACTACTCTGGGCACGGTCAGTGAAGACTGTAACGGCAAAAAATTGCTATTGAGAAATAATGACTAATAGTAACTTGTAAAAGTCAGTTCTAATGTGTTATCTACATTTCCTGAAATGTTTATCCACTAAGCATATAATTTACCAAATGATTATGTAAAATTGTGAAGTTTCGATCTTGAAAATATAACTACTTGAGTAGTGTTTACTGATTTAATGAAGACATGCAGCCATACAACATCAAGTAACACAGCACAGAGACAGGATAAGTGCGAATATCCTGCCACCAGTGTGCCTACACATAGTTTAAGATAATGATAGTCTACATCAAGTTGCAATATCTGTATATCTCTCAAAGAAGCTGAGAAGCTACTTACTGTATCCTGCTCCATGCCTGTGGTTCCCGGCGGGACAAGATCGTCGGAGTTCATGGAATCGCCATGGGCCGACACTCTTGGCCTACCAGAAGCCATTTTAGAATTGATNAATAAAATGTTGTCTGCAACATAGCTGGATTTTATTGGCTTTTAATAGTAAAGAAACAGCAAAAAAATAAAATTATAACAAATGTGCTATATGATGCTTTTCTTGACAAGAAAGACAAGGATGTTTTGAAAAGATAAATAAAATAAGTTACTATCAATCAATAAGTGTGCAAACAATGCTATTGCTCTTTAACATACTACAGTGATTTTGAAAAACTAAGCTTACTCAGTTTTAATTATTATACCTAGTTACTTATTTTAATCTAAGATACATAAAGATTTAATGAAACACACAATAAATATCATAAATTACAAACTATGAATGAAAACTAACAAATTCTTTATGTATTACATAAAATTAACAGCTTGTTCATAACTTTAGTGAGGTCAAATTGTTACTAACTAAACTATTGACCATAATAATAACTAGTTTACTTATGTTAGTGACAATGAAAGTTTAAATCAATATATTGACCATGATTGTTTTGTCTGGTAATAGTGTAAAATTATTTGTATTTATTTATTTAAAGATATCTCACCTAAGAATGTCTTGATGGGAGGCATGGCTTTTGTAGGCATGGCCTTCTCGCTGGTCGAGCTAGGGCATATCAGCCCCAACGGGATGCCCAGTTCCACCAGCTCCATTTTCCGCTTCATATCCTCGATTTCTGATAGGGTGCGCTTTTGCAACTCCGTGTATGAATCTGAAAGGTTTCGGTAATAGAATGTATATTAAAAAGTGTTTTATAACTTTTTAATAACATGCAGGTTTTTTTCTTAAGATAATGGCCTATACTAAAATTTTGAATACAGATACATAGAGATCTGCCAAAAGATGTTTCCCAGTAATGGGAACCAGATTTAAATACGTAAAAGGAAATGTTCCAAAAAGAGGACCAATCTAAGTAGATTGAGGGGCCAAAGACACACAAAAGGACTGGTAAAAGTACCTATCAGTATTTTATAAATTTTGAGTTTTTTATCATTTAGTTTTAATAATATGGTGGAACAATTGTTTGCCAGTATTTACCAACAATAAGCAGTAGCAGAAATAGAGATTTATCTACTTGTACAGAATACACAAGACACAAATAAAAATGTGCAAATTAAAAGACTAAAAAATATTTCATACTGAAGCCAAATAACCTTGAAAATTTTTCTTACTGGCCCCGGGCTTGGGCGGCCTGGGCGGTTTCTTGTCGGGCTCCACGTCTGGCTTCGGGGTGGTTCGGACACTGCTCAGCTTGCCGATCAACACTGTAGTGCCTGGAAAGTACAAGAACAGATGTTAGATGATGAGAGTCTATACAAAAAAAAACATTATTTTAAAGTTATTTACAGTAGAAAGGTATTATGGAACTATTCAAGGCATAGTATAATAAAATAGTGTAATTAATACCACAGAATAATAATAATAAGTATTGACATGTATTGATGATTTTGAAGAAAGAACTATGCATGTCATCCAGAAAGGTGTGCAAACATAACATGCATACAATTAGACAGATGATGACATTATCATTATGAATAATCAATTTAGACATGATTATTGTGCTGTTTAGTTAGACAGACAGTAGACATTCTCATTTCTTATTTATTTATAAAGTTCTTTTATACTAAAATACTGCTTTAAGGATTTATAATTGTTTATAATAAGTCATGCAAATGGATACCAAAAGCAGTCATAATGAAATGAAAGTTAATTATTATGCATGTTGTCAAAATGTTAAAAGTACCTTGGATTTGGTCTTTACGTGTACACCCAGATAGCATGAAAGAAAAGTTCATTCATTGATTAATGTGAAACACGTTTTAAAATTAACTATCCGTACAATTTAAAATATCGCAACTAAATTCCATCTAACGGTTTTTGCAGCCATACAAGCTGATAATAAAGTTATTCAAAATCTGTAAGGCCTAAAATTAAGATTAATAGATAGTTGTAATTAATTTTATACATACTTCCAGTGTTAACGGGTTTTGGTACTACAATAGGCGTGATTGGCGTCTTCTTTTGAATGGAGAACGCCCGTAGTCTCTTCTTGGCATTTTCGATGCCTTTCTTGGACAGTTTGACTACTCTGGGCACGGTCAGTGAAGACTGTAACGGCAAAAAATTGCTATTGAGAAATAATGACTAATAGTAACTTGTAAAAGTCAGTTCTAATGTGTTATCTACATTTCCTGAAATGTTTATCCACTAAGCATATAATTTACCAAATGATTATGTAAAATTGTGAAGTTTCGATCTTGAAAATATAACTACTTGAGTAGTGTTTACTGATTTAATGAAGACATGCAGCCATACAACATCAAGTAACACAGCACAGAGACAGGATAAGTGCGAATATCCTGCCACCAGTGTGCCTACACATAGTTTAAGATAATGATAGTCTACATCAAGTTGCAATATCTGTATATCTCTCAAAGAAGCTGAGAAGCTACTTACTGTATCCTGCTCCATGCCTGTGGTTCCCGGCGGGACAAGATCGTCGGAGTTCATGGAATCGCCATGGGCCGACACTCTTGGCCTACCAGAAGCCATTTTAGAATTTATTCAAATTCAATTATTTTTAGTCTAATTTCCACATTTCGGCGTGTAATGCTTGGTAAATGAAGTAAAATAATATTTTTTTTATTTTTTGACAATCAATCAATCAACCATTATTTTTTTACTAAAGATGGCTGCTTATTTTAACGACTGTCTGTCACTAGAAAAATTGTCTATGAAACTTGGCCAAAACATTTGATCCCAAAGCTGACAACATACAAAAAAAGTTTGTATCTATCTCTGTTTAGCAGTAGCCTCTCTTTCTTGCATTATACTTCTATCTCTATCTAACACGTAAGCTTGTCTCTGTCTTTTTTATCGAGAAAGATCGAGACTCTCCCTGATTGGCAGGGACTAGAATATTCTCGATTCGTGTTCTTGAACTTTGGCGAAAATACTGGGCCGTGATTGGCCGGCTGCGTTGGGTATATAAACGGAAGGAAGGGCGCGAGAATTCAGTCTTATTTGTAAACACAAAGCAAACGGAGCGAAAAGAAGGAGAGTGGGAAACCACTGTACTACGACAACGAGTTCGAAGTGAATTTTATTGTGAAGAGAAGAAATCTATCGTACTTCAAGAAAAATGCCAGCTGTTGGAATTGATCTCGGAACTACCTACTCGTGTGTTGGAGTTTGGCAGCACGGAAATGTGGAGATTATCGCCAACGACCAAGGAAACAGGACGACACCCTCATACGTCGCGTTTACGGACACCGAGCGACTGATCGGCGATGCGGCAAAGAACCAGGTAGCTCTCAACCCCAACAACACAGTCTTCGACGCGAAACGTCTCATCGGCCGCAAGTTCGACGACCCGAAGATCCAGGCAGATATGAAACACTGGCCCTTCAAAGTGATCAACGACTGCGGCAAGCCCAAGATCCAAGTCGAATATAAAGGCGAGACGAAACGCTTCGCACCCGAAGAAGTTAGCAGTATGGTTCTGACGAAAATGAAGGAGACGGCGGAGGCGTACCTCGGATCGACAGTGCGCGACGCGGTGATTACAGTGCCGGCGTACTTCAACGACGCGCAAAGGCAAGCCACCAAGGACGCGGGAGCTATCGCCGGCCTCAACGTGTTGCGAATCATCAACGAGCCGACCGCCGCCGCCCTGGCGTACGGTCTCGACAAGAACTTGAAAGGGGAACGCAACGTGCTCATCTTCGACCTCGGCGGTGGAACCTTCGACGTCTCGATCCTCACAATCGACGAAGGTTCGCTATTTGAAGTGCGGGCGACGGCCGGCGACACGCACCTCGGCGGGGAAGACTTCGACAACCGGCTAGTCAACCATCTCGCGGAGGAGTTCAAGAGAAAATACAAGAAAGATCTGCGAAGCAACCCGCGAGCGCTGCGCCGGCTGCGAACTGCGGCTGAGCGTGCCAAGAGAACGCTCTCATCGAGCACAGAAGCCACGGTTGAAATCGACGCCCTGTACGAAGGCATCGACTTCTACACCCGAGTGTCCCGCGCGCGCTTCGAAGAGCTATGCTCAGACCTGTTCCGGTCGACGCTGGAGCCCGTGGAGAAGGCCCTCCGCGACGCGAAGATGGACAAAAGCCAGATACACGACGTGGTTCTCGTCGGAGGATCGACACGTATACCGAAGATCCAAAACCTCTTGCAAACCCTCTTCTGTGGCAAGAAACTGAACCTGTCGATCAACCCAGACGAGGCCGTCGCATACGGAGCTGCAGTTCAGGCGGCCATCTTGAGTGGAAACACCGACACTCGCATTCAAGACGTCCTTTTAGTCGACGTGTCGCCACTGTCGCTGGGCATCGAGACTGCCGGAGGTGTGATGACCAAGATCATCGAACGCAACTCGAAGATTCCCTGCCGCCAGGCTCAGACCTTCACGACGTATTCGGACAACCAGCCAGCCGTGACCATTCAGGTTTACGAAGGCGAGCGAGCGATGACGAAGGACAACAACTTGCTGGGCACGTTCAACTTGACCGGGATTCCGCCGGCGCCGCGCGGCGTGCCGAAGATCGACGTCACCTTCGACTTGGACGCGAACGGTATTCTGAACGTGTCAGCGAAGGAGAATAGCACCGGACGAAGCGAGAAGATCGTCATCAAGAATGATAGGGGCAGGTTGTCGCAGGCTGAGATCGACAGGATGCTCGCGGATGCGGAGAAGTACAAGGAAGAAGATGATCGTCAGCGGGAGCGCGTGGCCGCCCGGAATAAGTTGGAAGCCTACGTGTTCGGAGTGAAACAAGCACTAGACGAGGCGGGTGACAAGCTGAGCGAGCAAGACAAGGATACGGGTCGCCGGGAGTGCGAGGAGACCCTGCGCTGGCTGGACAACAACGCGCTAGCCGAGCGTGAGGAGTACGAGCATCGACTGAAGGAGGTCCAGAACGTGTGCCAGCCGCTCATGACTAAGATGCACGGCGGCGGGCAAGCACAAGGTGGTGGAATGCCCGGCGGCGCTGGTGGCATGCCAGGAGGTATGCCTGGAGGCATGGGAGGCATGCCAGGCGGTATGGGAGGAATGCCAGGCGGTATGGGAGGAATGCCAGGCGGTATGGGAGGCATGCCAGGCGGTATGGGAGGAATGTTCGGCGGAGGCATGCCAGGAGGAATGCCCGGCTATCGACAAGGCTCCGACGGTCCCACCATCGAAGAAATGGACTAAGCTACGAAGTTTGAAGACTCCATAGAATCTAGTCCCCAAAAATTTTGTTGATTTGTTCCCAAAAAAATTAAGACTGATTGTTTTAAGAAGATAATTTATGTTTAAGTTTGTTAGTAACTTGTGATCATCTGTTGGACTCAATAAATAAAATATGTGATTAAAAATATATTTCTTTTATTTAAAGTGCATAGTCTATTCCCTACTCAATTTAACAAGAATCAAATAAACAAGTAAAATGGCATAATAAAACAAGTGAATTCATAAATAGGCAACATTTATTAAACTTTCTCACGTATAATATTTACACAATTCAAAATTACATTTGCACACACCTTTACTTGCAATACAACCTACTTACTCTAATACTCCATCCATCCATACTATGATTCTACATAAATATTTACAGAATAATAAACTACACGAATTTGTAAGCATTGTAAAAAATATCCAAGATAAGTAGGTATGTTGTTTTGACAAGACCTAAATAAAAATAGAATTGAAACGAACGTGCGAGAACATCACAAGGTTCGAGTCAAAGTGGGTCAGAAATCAATAAACTTGGTACATTTGCCAAATAATACAGGGTGCACTGTAATCAGGAGACACTGGCTTCGAAAATTCGTCGCCTAAGACTCCTAAGCAATATAAAATTCACTGTCTTATAAATAAATGATAACAATAACATGACTTATTTGTTTCTCAGTACAAAAAAGTGAGTGCTACTGAACTTACTGAATACACGTTATAAAAGTTAAGTTTACAAAAAAGCACAGACCTTATAATGTCGATTTTAGAAGGATAAAAATATTGGATAGAGGAAATAATTTTGATCATTATTTACATGGTCCAAACTATTGATTTTATTTTATGTGTTCACCCTGTATTTTTGGCATGACAGCACCAACAATCTGTTTGTGTACTCAAACTAAAGTTACTGCTAGCTGTCAGTGTATCGGTACACTGTCTTGGGTTCTCCCGCCATTTCGATCATTAGCTCTGTTAGGTCGTCGCTGAGCCTGACGTGCATCAATGGCTGCCCGAATTCTGTGTCTGTAACAAACATTAAAATATTAATTTACCCTGTGGTTTCATAACATAGACTGGGTATTATTTGAATTATGTATTTTTTTTCTGATCATTTTGTCGGGTCGGTTAAACGACTGATTCTTGAATAGAGACTACGTGTCAAAAACATAGAGTAGGACGACCATAGAATAGGCCTTGGATGCGCTCCGTGATAAGCTGTTTACATTTGTCGTCTAAAATCATCGATAAGATTTTATCACGGCGCGCATCTTAATCCCGCTGGTAGATCCTACCCCAACATTTCTATTTACTTCATAGCGTTCCTTCCTTCGTAAAGGCTTACGTCTAGCGTTGGACAATAGTCTAAAGTCATAGGGGTACCGACCGAAATGGGAGGATCTTCTCCTGGACGTTCTTAAGTGTTTACTATTTAAGAGGGAAGACCCTAACTAAAAATACTATTTGACCCCGGGGATAGAGGCTCCCAATAGTCCAAAAGGTTACGCCAACGTCTGAAATGGTTCATCCATTATCCATACCTGTGCTAGCCATCGCAGCAGGCACCTCGGTCTTCACGTCGCACATTTCGTTGACGTCAGCGAAAGCAACTTCGTGTGTCGGCGTCAGCAGCGGTGGAGGTAGGACTGGGTCTTCCACCAGGTCAGATGGCCGCGGCTTCTTGACTGAACTTGCTGGAAAAGAAAATACAGACGAATTGGAACTTCCTCAAAAATAAAAATCAATCAAGAATGTCTATTTGTTTGGACTAATCTTATGAACCCTATCTTGAAGTCCGTAAAAAATCCTTGCCTAATCAAATTAGTAAATTTTGCTCTCATGGGCCTTTTTGAAGTCCCTTATTTACAAGATTCCTAAGCTTTGTTATAAAATTGGCGATGGAGTGTGATATGTTCGGAGTTTCCTTACGTAATCGAATCAGAAATGAGATCTGTAGGAGAATTAAATATTTAAGTAAACAATGTAGTCTGCATAATTCATCATCATTTCAGCCATAGGACGTCCACTGCTGAACATAGGCCTCCCCAATGCTTTCCATGTTGATGGATTGGTAGCAGCCTGCGTACAGCGCTTCCCTACTACCTTTATGATGTCATCGGTCTTCCTTGTGGGTGGACGTCCCACGCTGCGTTTTCCGGTACGCGGCCTCCATTCAAGAACCTTGCTGCCCCATCGGCCGTCAGTTCTGCGTACTATGTGCCCTGCCCATTGCCACTTCAGCTTGCTAATCCGTCGGGCTATGTCAGCGACTTGAGTTCGTTTACGGATCTCCTCATTTCTGATTCGATCTCGTAAAGAAACGTAACAATAAATCGTACTAACCCAAATCAACTCCACTCCTTTTCTTGCCATTCGTCTGTCCTTTTGCCTTCTCTTTCTTCTTTCTTTTCTCCGCACTCTTCAGGGCTATGACTCGGGCGATCTCGTTTCGTATTTTGGATTTGACGTCTTCTGACAGATCGCTGTCTTGGCTCGCTCGTATCACGTACTTCGTGATTGGAACATCATCGTCACTTTCGTCTGAATTAGCTAAACAATTAATTTTATTTATTTAATTTTTAGACTAGGCGCAGACCACCGATTTTTAGTTGGCCGATAGTTGTGCCCGATTTTAAATTGTATGAAGAATCATCCAAATCGAATCGGTGTAATGTGCGCCCATACTGATCAACTGCACGACTAAACTATCGGCCGACAAATCGATGGTCTGCGCCTGGGCTTATTGCAAGCAATAAATGATGTACACAGCGTCAAAAATTTGGGTTCGTGACACCCAAAGTGGCCATTGTAACAAAGATGTTGCGAACTTTTTCGCTACATTGGATTTGGGGGTCACAAGCTATTTGACGGTGAATGTACAATGGTGGAGGACTTCATGCCGGGTGGCATTCTCTACTAGTCAACCACAGGTCTAGCAGTGAGTGTAATAATTAAAACAATGTGGTTACAAGATATTTTATCGTTGTCTTGATCGCACTTATCTCAGGAAGTACTGGTTCGAACTGAAAAATTATTTATGTGATGGATAGTCCATATGTGAACTAAGGCTATGGCCAAATTACATCACGCAACCACCAATAGGAGCGAAGCTTCTATGAAAAATTTTGCAATTTGCAAATATGTACTGGAAAAAAATGTTATTTACCATCCAATATACCATCTTTACAGTCATCCTGGCAGTCAGGTACCACATGTTCTGCTTTAAAAAATCTCTTCCATTTTTTTATTAGTTGGTCAGCAATCATCTGGGAAAAAATTACATATTGTTAATCATTAAAGTCTGTTTTATCATTTATTGGAGGAGGCTACGTTCAGCAGTGGACGTCCTATGGCTAAAATGATGATGGTGATGATGATATTTATTAGGAAAATGAAGGTTTACAAAATTTAATTAGATAATTATTTTTAACGTACTTCAAAAAAGGATAATTTTTAAAACAAAAAATACGCTGGAAATATTGTAGTAATTAAACTTCCACCTACAAATTTTAAAGGCTTGGGAATCCTCAGCATGTAGTGGTTGGAGTGAGTCTCCATTGACTCACACTTAGGGCACAGATCATAGTCATCGCACGAGACACACTTGTAGCGGAACCCACGGATTGGCTTATGACAGCTGTTGCACACAATGTCATCATGCTGCATAGGTTCTGGATCAATTGTGTTAACTGCAAAAACAAAATACATGTCTATTAAAAGACAGGTAATAATTATATCAGGAAATATCAGTTCACGTTTTTTAATATACAAGAGACTGATCTTTTTTGTCTAAGTAAGTATTTCTGAGTATGGGAATTTATTCTTTCTGAGTATGGGAATTTATTCTCTATGTAATTAAATCCTAATATTGGGTAGTGGACTAACACTGCCAAGTAATATTATTGACTGTTATGATTAATAGTCAAGTGTGACTTAGTTAAACAATAATAATTGGGCACACTTTGGACTTGTAAATGGTCATCTAACCTGCCATTTAAAGAAAAATAATACAGAATACAGAGTTCAAAGTATACCTTCATTGGGAGGCAGGCATAAAGTGGGCACTGCGTCAGGACAGAGGTTTTTAGACTGCGTCTTTATGCTGTTCGGTGAAAAGTGGCGGGAGCAGACCCGGTATCCACTCTTTAGTTCGCCTTTGTCAATGAGATCCTCGCGTCCTACTGCTCTTAGCCACTGTTCCTGCCTGAATTTGATAAATTATACAAGTAGATCCAATTATAATAACATTTTCAGCTAATCTCTTATTTGTCTAACCATGCAGTAGTCCAAAGCAGAGAAAGTATCACTACAAATTGGTAAATTGAATTCCTTGATATTTCTAGCTGTTGCTCTTTAATTTATTAATTTGTTTAAAACTACTAACCGGTTTACATCTTTGGGAAAGGTATAGTACGTCAAGTGGTTGTTCAAACGACTGTTTCGACTACAACCACTTACACAGCAATAGTTGACCATTGTAAGATACCGAGAAAACTGATTATATAATTTTCTATCTTTTATTTATTAAAAATCGTAAACAAACGCGACAACAACAAACAAATAGGAATGCAATTTGACAGTAAAATGACATTTGACTATTTTGACATTTTTAATAGACACATTTTTGTTTTTTTTTAGCAACAACGAAGGTGTTGTACATTCACTGATTGGCCAGAAACGTTAAAATAAAACGAAAAATAGAACAGATTGATAGAGAAGAACTACACTGAACTGTCCTTTATTTGACACTGACAGGGGGGCCACCATAGATAAGAATAAGTACTACGTATAGATAGCCGTCTCAAGGTTTTGATAGAAAGAGGCGCCATCTAGTTCTCAAGCTCCGTACTTGCTTCTGCTTGTATGTAACACGGTGCTTTCGTCGTTCATAGTTCGTATCCAGGTATTATTCCAAATATTATTATTGAGGCGCAGTTTTATTTCGGTAGATTTTTTTTTTAAAACAATGCAACAGTGCATTAATTTGGAAAAAAAATCTACCAAAATAAAACTGCACATAACCAATTGCTAAACAAGGTAAAAGAAATGAAAAACAAATGTGTAAATCATTTAAAACTTTTATTTTTACTTTTATGTGATACAAAATATCTGTGCGCTAACATTTTCATAGGACAATTTTCATCAAAAACCATATTTTTACCATTTAATATATTATTTATTTCTTTACACCAGTCATTTATCATCAAGGAAATTCCTTTACATATAATAAGTTCTTTAACTTTTTCTTTATGACTTTCGCATGTCACAAAATTTAATGTTACAAGAGAAGTGGTTACCAATTTTATATATTCGGATATTTGATCCGATTCACACTGTGTTGATAAAATTAATAATAGCGGATCGCTGGTTCCGACTTTTGCCACGGTGGAAACCATGTATAGTTCCAAAATACTGAACTGTCCTATGCATGACATTGACAGTGGGGCGCCACCGTCAATACCGGATCGCTAGTTCCGATTTTTGCCATGTTGGAAACCATATAGTTGAACGATGGTAGCGCCCCCCTGTCATTGAGTTTGGCGGGACAGTTCAGCGTGGGTCATCTATAGTTGAACGAAGACGGTGGCGCCCTTCTGTCAATGTCGTCGGTGGGACATTTCAGTGTAGTTCATCTTTATGTATTTTTTGGGGAAACGGCTTTAAAAAATGGGGGTAATGAGTAAGGCCATGGGGTAAGGCATTGATGGGTAGTGTAAGGTGTATCATGGTTGGTTGGTGCTTATTTAATGACTCAGCACCTTTTTAATACAAGCCCTTCTTTACAATATTTCTGTGTTGACTTAGATTAATAAAGCTTTATTAATCTAAGTGTGTTGAACGAATAAACTGAAATTGACTTAGCACTAACTTATTGCACTAATTTGCCGAAAATAATAGTAAAATAAAACATGATAGCCTAAAATTAAATATAAAAAATCTGAAGTTTTAGAAATTCCACTAACGCCACCTCGTGTTGAGTAGCTGAACTACTGAGTGTGCTTTCTCCAGCTTTTTCAGATAAAAGAAACCTTTTCCAGAAAAGTTGAGAAAGGGCCATTGGTTTTACTTTGCGTAGGTAGGTAGAGACTAGAGGTGTAGTAGGTAGGTACTTACATTATATATCAGTTTGTAAGTATTTTAATTAACTTATTATCTTAGACTTTATTAAACAAAATTAACTTTATACCTCTATGAACAGCCCCTAGCCAGATTATTTTGTTTGACCCTAAGGTTGACTGAAAGAGAATATAGCATTAAGTTAAATTGTGCTATAAAGTTTTAAGTAAATAATAATATTATGATGATTAATTAAAAATGTTATGAATCACGCTTTTTACCTAAATTGTAGAAAACTATCCCTATGCATGCATGCGATTCTAAACATTCATCATAATAATAATATCAAAGAATCACATTAGCAACATCGTTAAACAAATAAATGTTACTATATAAAAAATAAGGACATTACTTATATTATATTAATTTAAAGTGCACCAAATTGCATTCACCATGAGTGTATGATGACCATAATTTATATTGCCAACAGATGGAGCTGTGCGCTTTTAGATCGCGATATCATTTGATTTTTTCCTATCTTAGAATAAGAACAGCGATTTTTTGTATTATTAATTACGTATATTGTTTAGATTTTCACAATTAACAATACTTTTTGAAAGCGTTCACTTCTTTACAAGTGAACGTTAAAAAATACATTTTACAAAATACGCTGATTTTATTTGGCCTACGTTGTGTAGTTTATAATAATTATGATCTGTGGTAGATGGTACCTACGTACTATCACACGGGTGAAAATAGGTATCAAAAATTTTAAATTTAATTAATTAATCCTTCAAGGCCCGCGAATCTAGACACAATAGATCGTCGGCGTCGTCGAACAACGTCGTATGATCGCAACCGTCAAAATCTGTTTTTTTGCATTAAACTACTCTAAAATAGCCCCTTTATAAACTAATTTTTTAATTTTTCAAAATTCGTAATAATATCGAAGATACAGAATCGAACACCGACGGATGTGATTATTCTAACGCAGTACAGAGACGTGTTTGTGCAAGCGTCATTGTACTTCGGAAGACTGCACATCGTTTGTTGGAATAGCTTATACATTTGTATTCGTATTGATATTGAATGTATCTCGAATTTCGTCTTTAATCTATAAGTTTGGACACTTTATCGTTTTGATGACTGAAAGTCACAACCATCTCTTTACTAGGGAAGTCAGAGAAAAAAAAACTGTGACGTACGTACACACCCGTCGTTGTACTAGGAAGTTTAAAAATAAAAGAAACAGTGTCCTTTTGTTTTTATTTTATGGTATTTGTAGGTAGATTGACGAGTATAAACATTAAGAATGTTTGGTACAAAATAATTGTTTTTGGTGGCGGATGTACTGAACTTACATTGTTCTAAGGACTTTTGTTTGACGTTTGATCAGAANGATTTCGCAGACTGGGCCGGTGCGCAAGGAGATCAAAGACCAGAACCCCCAGGCCAACGCTAACGGACAGGCGAAATGAGAGATACCCTCCTCTGTGATAAAAAAAAAGTCATGCTCTGTGTGTTAGTCTGTGTGTGTATTATTTTGTGTTAATTTTGTGTTAATTTGTGATTAAAGACTGATAAAAGTTTAATATTAATTTAAGTGTAAAGCGTAATAAATTCACAAATCTACTTCATTTTTAGTTTCATTTTTTAATCCCATTTTCATTAGCGAGGAATCTTAAAATAAAAACAATTAGGTATCTATCTACATCTCATTTCGTATTAAAAATAAGAAAAAAATACCTCTGTATGAAATTTTTCATCATAGGAGAAAGTAAATAAATAAAATTACATTTAATATCCTTGGACATTTTACACTGCGCCTCTTAGTCCCAAACTAAGCAAAACTTGTACTATGGGTAGGTACTAACTAGACAACCAACGGACATAAACCTAATACATATTATTATAAATTTATATTTTCTTCTTAAAGATTCTCGGAACTGGTTGTTCCGGTATTGAAAGAAAACCTCACGGGATTAAACTATAAAAGAAAGTTTTTCAAATAATTTGCACATAACTTGTTTCCTACAGGTGTAATTAGTGCAAAAAAAATCTTGATGTGTTAAGTGTTATCGAGAATATTATGGGTACAGCCAGACATCGGATAGGTATTTTAAAATACTAAGATGTTCACACAAAAGTTTGTATTTAGCGGTGATTGTCGAACCCACGACTTTTGACATAATGAATGTTGCAGTTGCAATGGGATAGGGGAGCAATAATTTTGAGGCTAATTGTTTTTTAGTTCTAAAATGTTGCCTTTAAAAGTTGATGAGAAGTTGAATAATCACAATAAAGGAAACGGTGTAGATAACTTTTTATTTGGTAGGTAAGTACAGTCGAATTCATAAATATTATGTTGGCAGTGCCCAATGTTCGAAAATATTTATAGCACCTAAACATGATAATGAACAGTTTACTTAATAGACAGGTTGTCCCAAAAACAATGGATAACCCTGTATTTAACCATCGATAGGCCTCGCCATGGTCCCTAACATCAAATTTTGACCCTAGTAAAAATATCACCGTTTTCCAGATTTTTAAGTTTTTGTGCATTTTTAGAAAATTGCCACCTGCGATTACTTTTTCTCATGCCATTTCTACAAATGAGGATATTTTTCAATCTAGTTCAGTTTTCAGTTTAGTTGTTGGCGAGGCCTATCGATGGTTACAGGGTTATCCATTGTTTTTGGGACACCCTGTATGATTACATTTTATTGATGTTCGAGTTTGAATTGACGTTTGTCAAAGTTAAAGTAAGATTGGTAAGATGGTGCAACTCAGCTGAAAAATAAATAAGGTCTGATAGACCGATGTACCGGATGGCCTGAGGCATTTCCTGTTCAAAACATTACAGCGGAGACTATCGCTAGAATAGTGTTTGAGGGTTGGATATCTCGTTTTGGATGCCCTTCAAAGCTTACCAGCGACCAGGGTAGACAATTTGAAAGTGATCTTTTTAGACAGTTAATGAAATATTTGGGAATACACAAATTGCGCACGACACCTTATCACCCTCAAAGTAACGGCATGATTGAGCGGTGGCATAGAGCACTTAAAGTGGCTTTGATGGCACGCTTACAACGCAACAGTTCTTGGGTAGACGAACTACCAGTTGTATTGTTAGGTTTACGCTCCGCTANGATAATCAATTGTTATGACATTCATTAATGCCGTCTGGGACTCAAGCGGTTAATGCCCGTTTTCACCATCAATCCCTATTTTTAAAATAACCCCTATGAAAACAAAATTCATAATAGCTACCCAGTACCCATAATCATAATATTCATAATCCCTAATTTTTAAGTGACCCCTATGGTAACACGTACCATAGGGGTCACTTAAAAATTAGGGTTAAAACGGGCATAAGACTAATATTTAAAAAGAAATTGGTCTAGTAGTTTCAGAGCCTGTTCAATACAAACATACAAAAAACAAATCTTTCCTCTCTATAATTTTACTAGAAGTAAGTACCGCAAACAATGTGAAAAAAAATACCAAAATGTCTTCATATTATATCAGTCGGTCAGTCCATTCCTTACTAAACATTTTTATATTAATATTAGTTAACTAACAGTAATGCACTGTAGAATTTTCTTGAATGTTTTGGTATTTTCTGGTCCCGGTTCCGTTCCACGCTCGGTAAGTATTCGTTATTGTTGTCGGCATTGTACATTTGTACAACAATGCATACTTGTGTTCAGTCAGGGACGGGCGAGCGATGAACTTCAGTGCATACTGCAGCCGTCATTTTGAGCTAAAAATAGCTAGATGGTTGCCAGGCAGTTTATCTGTAACTTGGTCTAGACGTGTCTGGTTTCATGAGCTATTGATAGATGACGATTCAGGTTTTCTATTGGTTTGTATTCGTGTTTGAAGTATTTTATGTCACGTCATGATACCTACAGAAATAAATAATAAGATTTTTTTTTATTTGAAGGTAAACCTAATTATTGTAGTGCCTACTAGCTTTTGCCCGCGGCTTCACACACGTGAAATTTAGTTTGTCACACAGATCGTCATAAATTATAGCCTATAATGTTATTCTGGGTTATAAACAATAATACTGTAAGTAAAGTTTAATAAAAATCCTTTCAGTAGTTTTTGTTCCTTCAAAATCATTTATTTGGTTTTCTTTGTCCAACATTTATCTTCCTATGTGTATAGTGTAGGGCTTAAAGCAGCAGCAGTAAAATAAAAATAATATAAATTAATCTCAGAATAAACTTGTCATTTTGCCCATACTTTAACTGTCAATGTGCCAGTTATACCAGGAGTTATTCTCGGATTAAAGTTTGGTCGAATCAGGCCTAAATTAAATAGTAGGTAGGTACCTATGTAGGCTACCTAATCATATTCAAGAAAAAAATGGAAGTGCCCGCAACTTCGTTCACGTGAAAATCGTTTTATTTTTCATTGATGCTTCATGACTGATGTGACAGTCAAAGTAAAAGTCGGCTAATAAGCTTACGATGGTTCAAAAGAAGAAGCAAAAGATAGTTCCAAAACACAGAACAGCTGACTTTCAGATAGGTAAACATAAAAATACCACGCTGAAACCTTACTCAACAATCAACTTCATGCCATAACATTACTAGGTAAGCAGAATATCCAATTCGTAATGAGCGCATTTCATTTCATTCATTCATTGTTAATGTTACGTATTAGATGATGTCAGTAACCTTGCAAGGACTGAAAGAATAATCGCGAAATCACTCGCGTATTCGCGGCGCGCCGGGCCCCAATAGAAATAATAAAATCAATACAACAGCTGCTCGCTCACTACGAGAACGCACGACGCACACACGGAAAGGTTTACGACCGCTACTCGACGATTCTAGAATTTTCTACCCACCGCTAGATGTCGCAGCGGGTCGAGCGTATAAAAGCGCGCCGGCCGGCTTCACCAACAAGTATTATTGAACAAGCTCTTCAAGCGAATACAACTGAGTGCGAAAGCACTGCGATCTCAACTCTACGCAACTTTTCGAATACAAACCAAGTGAAAAATGTCTCTGCTGCCTTTCATCCTCGGATACGACCACCCTCACCGCCTGATTGACCAAGATTTCGGGCTGGCGCTGACTCCCGACGATTTGCTGACGGCTGCGGTGGCTCCTATGGTGAACCGCGACTACTACCGACCCTGGCGTCAGCTGGCGGCCGCTGCGAGAGACGTCGGCTCCACCATCAAGTCCGACAAAGACAAGTTCCAAGTCAATCTGGACGTGCAGCACTTTTCGCCGGAGGAGATCACGGTCAAGACGGCTGACGGTTATGTTATCATCGAGGGTAAACATGAAGAGAAAAAGGACGAACATGGCTACATTTCCCGGCAGTTCACCCGCCGCTACGCGTTGCCCGAAGGCTGCAACCCTGATACGGTGGAATCTCGCTTGTCTTCGGATGGTGTGCTGTCCATCATCGCCCCCCGAGTGGCTCCAGCGCTGAAGAATGAAAGGTCTGTCCCAATTTCGCAGACTGGGCCGGTGCGCAAGGAGATCAAAGACCAGAACCCCCAGGCCAACGCTAACGGACAGGCGAAATGAGAGATACCCTCCTCTGTGATAAAAAAAAGTCATGCTCTGTGTGTTAGTCTGTGTGTGTATTATTTTGTGTTAATTTGTGATTAAAGACTGATAAAAGTTTAATATTAATTTAAGTGTAAAGCGTAATAAATTCACAAATCTACTTCATTTTGAGTTTCATTTTTTAATCCCATTTTCATTAGCGAGGAATCTTAAAATAAAAACTGGTTGTTCCGGTATTGAAAGAAAACCTCACGGGATTAAACTATAAAAGAAAGTTTTTAAAATAATGGGCACATAACTTGTTTCTTACAGGTGTAATTGGTGCAAAAAAAAATCTTGAATGATGTGTTAAGTGTTATCGAGAATATTATGGGTACAGCCAGACATCGGATAGGTATTTTTGTTCACACAAAAGTTTGTATTTAGTGGTGATTGTCGAACCCACGACTTTTTTCGACATAATGAATGTTGCAGTTGCAATGGGATAGGGGAGCATAATAATTTTGAGGCTAATAATTGTGTTTTAGTTTTAAAATGTTGCCTTTAAAAGTTGATGAGAAGTAGAATAATCACAATAAAGGAAACGGTGTAGATAACTTTTTATTTAGTAGGTAAGTACAATCGAATTCATAAATATATTGGCAGTGCCCAATGTTCGGAAATATTTATAGTACCTAAACATGATAATGAACAGTTTACTTAATAAACAGGTTGTCGCAAAAACAATGGATAACCCTGTAACCATCGATAGGCCTCGCCATGGTCCATAACATCAAATTTTGACCCTAGTAAAAATATCACCGTTTTCAATATAGTTTTTTTCCTCATCCTCATCACAAGGGATAGTTGGGCTATCAAAAGAAAATATTAAAGTTCAACAAACTAGTTTAAAAGTATGAAAAATTAAAGAAATCGCAGAAGAGAAGGAATAATTAATTCATTGTCTTGCACATTGGATCAGCCATCATGTAAAAAAATGTAGGAAGTCCATCGTGTCCATTATTCTTAAAAACTTATTTGGTAAGATTTTAAAAAGGTATTATCACAAACCTATGTATTCTGTATTATTTTTATCTCATGGCTACTTAGACTGAAAAATAAACTAGATTGAAAAATATCCTCATTTGTAGAAATGGCATGAGAAAAAGTAATCGCAGGTGGCAATTTTCTAAAAATGCACAAAAATTTAAAAATCTGGAAAACGGTGATTTACTAGGGTCAAAATTTGATGTTAGGGTCTCATGGCGAGGCCTATCGATGGTTATCCATTGTTTTTGGGACACCCTGTATAATTACATTTTATTGATGTTCGAGTAAGAATTGACGTTTGTCAAAGTTAAAGTAAGATGGTGCAACTCAGCTGAAAAAAAAATAAGGTCAATTTTCACTTGGTACCTATTTTATAGAGTTAGGTATATACCTATAATGAATAGGTAGGTAAATGAAACAAGGAAGTAGTTTTAAAGAAACTTAAATAATTTATTGGAACTTAATTCAGTCTTCAACAAATGACTAGTCCTAAATTATTAATAATAATAAATGCAGAAATTACAGTTTACAAGATTTGTCACTGGCTTTGCAGGAACCATTTTCCTGTGGTGCCTCTTTAGTTTCTTTTCGGACTGGTCCAGTCTTGGTGATTGGCACTATTCTCTCTCCCTTGTCATCGATGACCTTTCTTGGAGCAGTAATAGTTAGGATTCCGTCACTAGACAGCTCTGAGACGATGTTTTCGGACTCCGCCCCTTCAGGTAGCGCATATTTCCTCACAAACTGCCTAGACACAAAGCCATGTTCATCTTTCTTCTCCTCATGCTTGGCTTCAATCACGACATACCCATCCGAAGTCTTCACAGTGATTTCTTCAGGTCCGAAGTGTTGAACGTCCAAGTTGATCTGGAACTTGTCTTTCTCATTTTTAATGGTCGATCCCAAGTCTTTTGCGATCGAAGCCAGTTGCCTCCATGGTCGGAAATAATCGTGCACGATCCATGGTGTCATCATGGAGGTTAAGAAGTCGTCGGGTGTCAGCGCCATTCCGAAAGCCTGGTCGTTCAGTTTGTTGTCTTGTTTGCCGGGACATTCATCGCCGAATGCTATTTTACGTGAGCCAATTCCGAAGAATATGATAGCCAACGTTAGGCAATAAGAAAATCCTCCAAACGATCTCATCTTCACTGATTTTTGTCAAAAATGCACCGCTATGCACAAATAAGTTGCACTGATTCACTTTGGTTTGACTATGTGTAGAGCTTGACTTGAATTCACTTGAAATGCGCGCGTTTCATGCGCTTTTATACTCCTCCCGACATCTAGCGGCTAGTGGAAATTTCTCGGCTGCGCAGATAAGGCTTTTCTCGAGTTATCGAGTTGTGTTTTCGAACATTGACCTGTTGTCCTGCTCACTCTTGTATTGTATCAATACCACGGGAAAGAGACAGAAAATAAAAATATTCTCATATCAATAAGGTAGACAGACGTGTCCAACTGCAGAACGACCACGTGTGTATGTTTATTTATTAAAATTATCTTGTTCTTACGACTGGAGTCTGGACATTTCCTTCATTGATTAATTATTTTTGATAAAAAAATACCAAGCGATTGTTTAGCGAGGTGCATAAATGACAACAAGAGTTGTTATAGGTATCACAATACTATTGTAATTTAATCATCATAATTCAAAATAAAATAAAACCATCATCAAATTTTTATTTAATTTATTTTCACCAACTTGTTAATGTTTTTCCTACAACACAACCGAGTAAAAAAAACGAATCTTTTACTTGTGGTCATTTAAGTGCCACACGAACGCGCGGACGTCGGACACACACACACCATAATGTCGTAGTGGCGCGGCGAATCATCTTAAATGCTGTGGATCTCAAGTTTGATTCCTCACTTAGAGATATTTTCCTGGCTTTTACTTTTTTAATGACGCTTTAATTTTGAGCACTGCATCGCGAGAACACTACAACAATGATTTATTTTTATTAATTAACTCAGTCCATTTTTGACAATCCGTACCTATTTCATATTTTTAGGAATCTTTGGTTGTAAATCGGAATTTCAGAACGAAGTTTGTATTTTTGTCAGTTTCACAAATTATAATAAAGTTAAATCACAGATAATACAATACTAGTGTTAAATTAACTAAACAGTAGTAAATAACAGGCACAGCAGACTTATTACTTACTAGTAGCGATCTCTACTAGACATTCTTCAATACAGTAGTGGATAAATCGAAGAATAACAAAAACAAAGAGGCAGCTATATAGGACCTTCTTAAGTTCGTAGTAAAAATTGTTCATAGTCTTTAATTAATGAAAACTAGCTAAACTAGTTTTTTGTCAGTTTCATTAAAATGTGTTATACATAATATTTTCAATGTGAAAAATGTTGAGTAGCTCTGCCTGCTTTCATTTTGAACTGTTAGCGACATCTAGTGGGGAGTAGCAGTATTGCTTAGCACTACTTCTATGAATGAAAACGAATCAATGTTCAACTTTACGCTACAGACAATAGGAGCGTTGAACTTGCCGATGAATTGTTTACGAGTTGCTATGACGACGGTCAATGACTTGAATTTCCGCCCTTTTCGCGAATATTCCCGAACTGCTCGAAACGAAATATCTAACTNGTCTAACTACCTTGCTACCTACCTACCACATTATGTATTTTATTACCGATTGCGTTGCGCTGTTGCGCAACTCTTGAATGGAAGTTGTAAATTTTAACATTTGGTTTTCATTCATAAAATATACTTTTAGATAGGTAGGTTTCTAAAAGCCCACGCAATCAAATAGAGGCAATCGGTCAATTCTGTTTGTTTTTTTATTCTTCTATAAGGCTCTCGCGGCTTGCTCTGTTAAGTCGTTAAGTTTAGAATGTTTGAAATATTTTTTTCATCATCAACCCACTACGTTAGTTATGTATGGCAAAAAGGCAATAAATAGTAAGTGCCATAAAGCATGATAGACCAATTTTATCATTATCACATTGAGGGCTAGACATTGGCTATATCTTATTATTCTTTTCTTCTTTAAACTTTTTTTTCAAAAGATTATTAGTAATTTGTTAATTAATTGCACAACTTTAAACCACTTTAAACTGTACTGTGTTTTCTCTGTCATGTCATGATAGTTGCTAGGAAATTATGCGATTGTTAGTTCTAGCACAGAATAATAAATAATAACTACGGTTCTAGGAGCTAGGAACTTCATCTTATTGATAAAAGTGAAGGTGATAAAATAAAAACCAAGAGTTTCTAAATAGTGGTATATTTTCAAAAATATTGTATGACACGACCTGCATTATCTATTTACAGATTTAGAAACATAATAAAATTAAATCATCAGGTTCACGACTGTCAAGACTGCGTACATTAAATTAAATAGCTTCGGTAGATGCACTTAAATATAATATTTACAAAATTATAATAAACACCTTATAAAATTTTATCCTCGTCACATCATCAATTTTCTGGAAATACCAAACTTTGCATAAACTGATAAGATGTAACATGTGCACACTCTGAGCAAATGTTGAGATTTTCATATAAAACTTTGTAAAAATACAAAGTAACTACAAAACATACAATATTTGAGCATTATTAATTAGTATTGGTGTTAAATAATAATCATAAAAATTATAAATTTATAAATTGCAGTGTAGATAAATAATATTATAGAATGTAATTTTTACACCGAAAGAAAAAAATGCACATGTCACAAAATTATTGTAAACAAAACGTAAATTTAAGAGAAGTTAGAGCCTATTTGATTTGTAGTTTTATAATTACAAAAAGCGTCAGTATCCACTACAGTTAAGCATCGGGGTGAGTGTGTTTAGTGACAGCAGATCGGCATCAAAATTGAATTGGAATGGTATATTTTTACTTTCAACTCTTTGCTGTGCATTTGTAAAATTCTATAATATCAAGGGTCTCAATGCTCAAGGCTCAGATTCAGTCTCAAGTATAGACTTTTGCTTTGATTGATCGCATTTCAATATTTAGTCCAATAACAGGACATAATCTATGACTAAGATCGAGTCTAGTTTTTTGAGCGTTGTTTTGTAACGTTGGTTTCACTCACGATATTTTTATGAAAACTACATTACAATATCTAGAAAAATAACAATTCCGATCCCATTTGCTGCCAACAAACAACCAAGCTGAGCTTGACTTCTAAACAATGGCCAGTTTCAGCTAGACATTATACATTTTTATACAAAATTATGTCGAAGACACAAGATCTTTTGTATAAACGTAACTGGTACCGGCATAGCGGTATCAAGAGTTGCAACTGCAGATAGTTCTTGCAATGCACCGCAGTATAAGTCGAGTGTATAAAATAAGGTAAATAAGGTATACTGTGATACATGCAAGAAATATTCGTAGTTCAGATCCTGATCGTATTTTGTATTGTGAGAAGTAAATGAGAAATTTGATATAAAAGAAACAATCAAATATTATGTTTTAAAAGTGTAGTTTGACGTGAAGTTTCATTACCATCTGATAATAAAGAAGACTCACCAGGTAGTTGGCCTTGATCAAATTGAACAAAAAACATACACAGTGATACAGTCTTTGGCAAGTTAAAACCGAAGAAAACATTCTACAATAGAATTTCCTACAGTGAAATAACAGTTTAAAAATATTCAAACCTCATTTCCCCGCCCACAATACTCACATTTATTTGTCGCCTAACATCGTCTAACCTAACTTACTATCTACGTTTGTTTAATAAAAAAAGTTGTAACATCCCTACTTTTTATATAGATACAAAAAGCTAAAATAAAAACACGCATAATATCAGTCACTCTCGGACTTGCACGCTTTCCCAATCCGTACGATTACTATTTTAAAATTTATATGATGGTAATATGAACGAACGACTTATTTTTAATATAAATTCTGAAAACTAGATTTAAAATGTTAGTGACAACATATTTTTATAGGAATATACTCTTATTAAAATGGCAGTTACATTACTGGTCTAATAGGTACCTCATTGGGCATCCAAAATGGACATACGAATCAAACTTAACCAGTGATCGCCGCGCGCCGTAAGAAAAGCTATGAATGGTTTTTTTTACACATTTTCACGAATTACAAAATAGTAATAGTACTGAATAAAACTAACTTGAACACAACGCATGTGAGATCATCATAACTGCGGTGGTTTATTCTTAAACCTATATCTTGTGCGTGTAAATTCGAATTCGTATCAAAATGGTTTCATATTGATATGATCTGTGAGTCTTCTTTTACATGGAAGCCTGTTGTTTTATAAAAATCACAACTCCACTTGTTCATTAGCTCATTCTGAGAGTTATATTTAATTTTAATCTTTTGAAGGTTGAATCTGTTCTTTTATCTGTACGGGCTAGAAAAGGATAAGTGATATGTCTCAGAATTCGCACTTTATCTTATTCTATTTCAGAACAACTTTGGCATGTTAGGATTTAAAACTAAGAAGAAGTTCTAAACTAAAAGGGGGTCGGCCAATAGGCCATAGACGATTGTTATTTTGAAAATTCACCTCTGAATGGTATCAGGGAAGATCGTGCAAGTCCTTTATAACACCAACTTTTGATTTAACACGTTGACCAACACAAACGTTACGGAATAGCAAATCATTTGGCGTAAATTACGACACTATTACACTGGAATCTGTCAGAGTTTTGTGTTACACATACCACACTATAACAGAATGGACAGTCAACGTGTTAAATTTCCAGGGACGGTCAGCATTTTTAAGCTAAGTTTTGATACTTTTACAGGACATTATACGAGACGTTTCTCATTTTGTTAGACCAATGCTGACTATCACTGGCTTAAAATTCCACCACCGATGTGGCCCCTTACATGTCACAGCAGTGGCACTGAACACAACGCATACTAAACCTCATCGCTTTGTCTTAAGGACGACAATCACTCGCTCATAGTGAATATGCGCCACTGCGTGAATCATTCGCCATGTTGCGGTGTTCGTTTGACTCTTTTGAAATTGTCTAAATAGTTTTCTCAGTGACGGTGTCTTTAGTTTTGTTTAACATCAAATACTGATTGTAAATGGTAATACACACTATTTATAATGATTTATAGCCTCATTATTTTTTATTTAATACAGCCATTAACAGTTTAAACCATAATATTTAGTGTGAACAAAAATGCAAACGTTTATCAATGGAAAATGAATGATTTTTCTAATACTGTTAGATTCGAGTTTTGTCTATAACGCCAATTTTCAAGAACCAAAGCGTACACCTACAACATGGCACACTTAAAAACATCAACGTATTGTATATTTTGTTTAGCTCATACAAAATCTAGTTACATAGCTTATTACCTAAATACATATAAGTTAGACAGTCGTCCACAGGCGTGACAATATTAGCCCTGCTTTAATCTTACGAAAAAAACAATAATCATAGTAAATACATCAAAAATGTCGTCGCTAGGGTCGGTGCATACTGATACAACGTGTTCCTTCACTTCATATAAAAGGGATTATTTACATAGTACAGAAATAGTTCTTTAGTTTAAACATTACAGTATGCACGCACCTTTAATTAAAATTTGTGCTAACATTGGGGTATAATTTTGCTTTTGGCCTTAACATTTTTTAAAAGGTCTTTTTTAAAAACCTCACCGTATTTATACCGAAAATGTAAGTCTTATATAGTGACTCGATATAAATAACCTAAATTGAATACAAATGCATAATCATATGGCCTCTTTCGTTATCAAAATAAATATGTAGTATTATTTTAAATTTATTTTTTATTTTCATGATATTTTAACAGCTAACCCTTTCTTTGGACACGATTCAGTTTGGTATGATTTATACCAAGAACTAATAATAAAAGTCTAATTTTATAGATAAAGACAGATCTATCCTATGGTGGTATGGTTTGAGAACCAACGTAAGTATCCTGAAGAACGTTCAGTAAAATGTTGACCTTGAAAGTATTCAACAACAGACTTACATTGGCCGAGCCTGCAGAACCGTTCTCGACCGTGTTGATATGGGAAAAAGATCGTTTTTCCATAAATGGTTTGAAGCAAAAGCGGATTTTTATTTAAACCTATCTAAGAGCTACGATTAAAAAACCTACAATCAGATGTATATCAATGATTTGTACACAACTTACATATCGATAACAAAACGTAAGAAAAATAGATTTTTATACGAAAAAAATATTAAAATAATGTGTAAATTCGTAAGAAAGGCATAATGTAAAAATTAAAGCACCTATATGTATAAAATATTGAACTGAGCATCTGCAAAAGCTATTTTGATACATATTCTGTCTATCTCTTTCCTTTTTTTGGGAAAGAGCAAGGTAAGCGTCGGTGCAAACTAAAGCTATGTTTTTATGTGTATTATTAATAATTAAACACTTTAATTTATTCTATGGAATTGTCTAGCAAATAGACACAAAACTTAAGTTAATGATATACATAATTATGTCAAATTGGTGATATATTATTTGGAAACTCTGGTTCGGTTGCTAATTGAATTTTATAATCTGATAATCAATTGAAATCTGTTACAATATTGTCAAATTAGTAAATTACTTTAAAGTGATGTCATTGATTGCCTTTGATAGACAGGAAAATAACGTCAAATAAAAAAAAGATTCGTAAAAGTAGGATAGATTTTTCGGAAACGATGAAATAACTCGGGTCTGCCAAAACGTCGCCTTTTCTATACAAATACTTACGTAATAGGTAATTAATTATCATCGAATAATAAGCTAACTTAAAAATAACGTAAAATTAAGTCGTAACATTCCGAATAATCACAACAGAGAGTTTTCGTCATAATATCGTTTCTAAACAGCTTGATATAAAGCTGAAATTATATCAACGTTTTTATTTTATGTCGTTTTTATTGCGCTAAATTGAGGTTAAAATACTTGAGAATTCCGGACACTACCTACAATTTAGTTTTAGTTTTCCTTTTTTACCCTCGAGATAAAGAAAGGTATACACAATCGCCTGATTTTAGGATTTGACGTTGTAAAATACAAGTTGAAAACCATAGTTACTGTGGCGTGGCAGTTTAACTGTCCTCCAGTAGATTGTGAAGTTCCGCGTAGTTGAGTATGGCACGATGTAAAAACTCGTACTGCAACTGTGGAGGAAAAATATTACGGTTAAATTAAATTTTGTCCTACAGATAGATTATAGCGCTAAACAGAGAGGTTCTTGTAAGTTATAGCAACGCGTTGCTATAACTTATAACTACAGGAATTGTCAAACTTAATTTTTTTTTATNTGGTAGTAGGCGGGGCTCATTGAGCTTCTTGGGCTTTAGAAGTTCTCGAGTGGCCAATATGGGCCGGTACACGCAGCAGCAGGCCTCTCACCAGGTGGACTGACGATCTGGTACTTATAGACAATTTGGGAAGTACCTGGATCCGAGCAGCGCTGGAGCGATCGTTGTGGAAATATTTGGGAGAGGCCTTTGTCCAGCAGCGGACGTCTTTTGGCTGAAACGTATCGACGAAGGTACGGGACTATTCCCACCTCTCGTTCCCACCGCTGCAACTCCTGTGTAGCCAGGATCTACAGCTTGACCGCCAATAAAAACGCAACCAGTGAAGGTCAAGTTTGTCCCGGGGAAAGTTAAACTTTCGTTGGACCCGCAACGAACGAACGAAGGTAAGGACTAAACACTTGTAAAGCCTGGTCCGTGAGCACGTAGAATTTTGTCCAATGACCCCAAGCTACCCATCATTATCGCTCGCGCGTAATTATATTGCTGTCGCGACTGTGCGACGGGCGCCCGCAGTGAGTGTGCGAGCGCGACAGCAGCATAATTACGCGCGAGCGATAAGGATGGGTAGCTTGGGGTCATTGGACAAAATTCTACGTGCTCACGGACCAGGCTTTAGTCGTGTACTTACGAAGGTGTCGACGGTGCGTGCCCGCTGCGAGCGCACCTTGCGCGCGACTGTATTGACGTCCACGCGCCGCTCCACGCGCAGTTGGCAGATCAGGATGCATAGAGCCACGAATAGCGCCGACCGTTCCGTGCCCAGGCTGTGGATAAGAAACGTTGGTGTTAAATTAAAAGTATAGATAGATTACATCGCCATAATATACTCACGTCCGAAATACCGCAGTGTCTCAAGTCGAAAGTATTCGACCAATGTGTGTTGCCAGTGATGGTATACGGATCTGAGACGTGGTCGCTTACTCTATGGGCCTCATAAGAAGGCTCAAGGTCACCCAAAGGGCGATGGAACGGGCTATGCTCGGAGTTTCCCTGCGTGATCGAATCAGAAATGAGGAGATCCGCAGGAGAACCAAAGTAACCGACATAGCTCGCAGAATTGCTCAAAGTTGGTGAACGTCAGAATGGCGGGTGTATGGTCACAGAAATGAATAATATAAATATTAATTTTTAATACCTGAGGTGTACCTTTAGTTATTAATTTTGTACTTCCCTAATACGGGAACAATTTAAATTACAAAATGAGCCGCCAACCTGATATCAGGTTGGCGGGTGTATGCTGAAATTGAACGAAACANACAGGCCTACTAATTGTACCGCTAGACGTTGCGTGTAGCCCCCGCCTGTAGAAGAGACTAATGACCGTTATCACCATCAATCCCTAATTTTTAAGTGACCCCTAGGTAAACAACATTCCTGTTATATGTTACCATAGAGATCACTTAAAAATTAGGGATTGATAGTGAAAACGGGCATAAAAGTCTAGTCTAAGGGTGTCTTAAGCCAGAGGTGGAATTGTGTAAAGCAATCGTAATCATTTGACAGTTCATAACGTACGATTATTCTGTCAAACGCTTTGTTTAACTGACTTAATCGTACGTTATGAACTGTCAAATGATTACGATTGCTTTACACAATTCCACCTCAGATCTCCACTAGAGGCAATCAGCAGTCTCGAGTCGACCGGCTGCTCAAATGGAGACGCTGCCTCAACCTCATGGCTATGTGTGGACAGTGATGATCTGTTTGTCTATTTTAAACAAATAAATAAACTTGAGGCAAGACTCATTTGCGAAATAAATTTCGACGCCGCGAACCGAGCCACAATTTGTCGCTCGTGCTCGTTACAGAAAGTGTTTGTGCATATTAGTTTGGTCAGTGTGTGTCTTACAGATGTCTTTATTGCGCATTCATTTTATTGGTATCGTGCAAGGCAGTTTTTTAGGACCGCCTCATTCCCTGGTCCTTCGAGCCGGATCTTCGGTACTCACTGGCAGTGCACGAGCATGGTGTGGTCGCTGGGCCGGTGCTGGCGCGCGGCGTCGGCCAGCTCGGCCAGCCCGCGCGTCACCTCGGGCACGTGGCCCGGCGCCGTGGGCCAGCCCTGGTACTGCAGCTGGCGGACTGAAGCGCTGTCGCCGTTCTGCAACACACAATATAAGTTTTTTAACTCCACTCATAAAGTTAATATACCTAGCGGAATAGAGTAACAAAGAACCGAGCGAGCGAGATGTCATTAGCAGCAACACTGTGTGATAAAGAGCATGCGTGATGCCGTCGCCGTCACGTCAAACAGAACCGTTTTTTGCAACTATTTGAAAGTTCGTTAACACTTATTGACACGCTGGAAATTTGAACTCTAGAGGTTTTTTCAGATTTTCCGTGAGTGAAATCGTGGATGTTTATGAGAAAATAGTGCAAAAAATACGTGGTGACTGGTTCAGTGATTGATTATTGGTACAAAACAGTGACGACACTATACATCCTTGCGGACCTTTAATACGCAAGCGTAGCTTACACCTGGGCAAACACATCCTAATATCACACTTGCTTCTTTGACATACGCCTCCTACAATTCGCTAATTTGCCTTATCTTTGGATTGCTACATACATCTCTTCAAAGCGACTTTTGCAAGGTGTCTCGTCACATCACCTATCTGATTTATTGATGCCGTATCCTATCAGAACATGGATCTGCTCAAAACATACCTTATGTACGGTGACGCGGAACTGGTGACGCGTATAGTAGAGGCAGGACTAGCTCTCCTCGTAGGCCGCGTATCCACTAGAGGCAGCCTCGCCCCGAGCTAATATGGCTCGGCTCGCGGCGACACAATATGGTTTGGTTCGCGTCGACGAATTTGCTTCAGGACGCAGCGTGTCGCAGACTAAGGTAGCATCCCTAGTTGCTCTGCTTCGGCCCGAGGCTGCCTCTAGTGGATATGCGGCCGTACTGTCTTCCCAGTAGCTCCTGTCAGAACATGGTCTGCCTAAAACTTACCTTGTTGTTGGTGACGCGGCGCGTGTATTAGGGACAGGATTCGTTCTCCTCGTAGGCTGTGTATCCACTAGAGCCAGCCTCGGGCCGAGCCGGTGCCTCGCCCAGAGCGACACAATATGGCTCGGCTCACGGCGACGAATTTGCTTCAGGGGGCTGAGTGTCGGTTTACATCAAACATTGTCATTAGTGAGCGCGTAAAAAAATTACATTAAATGTATGACGGATTGTACAGCGCCCCTAGGTGAAACTCTAAAGAACTAAAATTTTCATATATTTGGACGCGCCGTGCCGCAGATTGAGGCAGCGTCCCAACTTTGTTCTTTCTCGGTACGAGGCAGCCGCTCGGCCTAAGGCCTCTAGTGGATATACGGCCGTACTGTCGTTCTAGTAGTCGCCGCTCCTGTTGCAACATGTCTGACGCACCTTGTTGTTGGTGACACGGAACTGGCGTCGCGTGTAGTAGGGACAGGACTCGCTCTCCTCGTAGGCTGTGTATCCACTAGAGCCAGCCTCGCCCCGAGCTAATATGGCTCAGCTCGCGGCGACAATATGGTTTGGTTCGCGGCGATGAATTTGCTTCAGGACGCAGCGTGTCGCAGACTAAGGTAGCGTCCCCAGTTGCTCTGCTTCGGCCCGAGGCTGCCTCTAGTGGATATGCGGCCGTACTGTCGTCCCAGTAGCTCCTGTCAGAACATAATCTGCCTAAAACCTACCTTGTTGTTGGTGACGCGGAACTGGCGGCGCGTGTAGTAGGGACAGGACTCGCTCTCCTCGTACTGCACGGCGATGTGCTCGTACTGCGCAGTGCCGTCGTCCCAGTAGCGCGGGCACTTGCCGTCACCAATCTATAACAGATATCACACCATTACTATAGTCTGGTCCGTGAGCATGTAGAATTTTGTCCAATGACCCCAAGCTACCCATCCTTATCGCTCGCGCGTAATTATGTTGCTATCGCGCTCACACACTCACTGCGGGCGCGCGTCGCACAGTCGCGACAGCAATATAATTACGCGCGAGCGATAAGGATGGGTAGCTAGGGGTCATTGGACAAAATTCTACGTGCTCATGGACCAGGCTTTACAGGTATAGATCGTTTCATCCACGAAGACGCTCCCCACCATCTTCCGCTAATGTTTGAGTGTTATCGGTACACGCTAAATTAACCATGAGTGCACACGCACACTACAATAATGACGCTCGGATTGCTCGGATCAAACTCCTCGCACCTCGCGCTTCCCTCGACCAAAAATTGGTGGAGGAAACGATCTATACAGTTAACGTTAAATAGCTTGTGACTACCAAAGTAGTCAAAAAGTTTTCATTGGAATAAATTATCACCGGACAACCTTCTAATTCCACTGCATACCGTGTCTCTCTAAACACTCGACATTGGCAAAACCAGTGTGCTTCAAATTTGCACCATTGAGGCCATTAGACAGAATAATAATAAGGATGTGCTGTCAACTTATCGATTCCAATGCAAAGCGGATACGTGACAACCAATAATAATGTCTGCTTTAAGAAGTACGCGTACGGAAATCAAGCTTTAGAAATTATTTTGCTTTTAATTTGAGTCTATGCCTCTTAAATGTAACGAAAAACGTGGTAGTTTTCGTGTTTGTATAGATATTGCAAATAAACAATTAACTTCCCTTCTCTCCAATTACACAAACTATTGAAACATCAGTGGAAAACATTCTAGAATCTAAATATTCAGAAAATCATTCAAGCATCATAAAATAACTAGACTTGCCTCGCTCAGCATAACGATTGTGGACACATTATGTTCAGAGACCATCCGCCAGAAGTCCATGATCGTGTTCGGTAACGGATCTTGCGTGATTATGAAGCCTTCTGAGTTGTCGTATGCTGCGAAAAACAAATTAGAAATTTACAATAATCGACAGCAAATTCGATTTAGTTACACCAGTCAGGCTGTTTTTGAAACGTCAGGCGAGACTGCAGATCTTCTTCAGATTTATATCCTGGCACGTCATAATATTATGTCAATGTCACCCCTCCCATACCTCAGACAATTCCGCAATAGACAAATCACGTAATTGTCATTTCTAACTTTACTTTCAACTGCAGACCTGCGCAAAACTGAGTCAGTGCCCGAGATATGGGAGAGTGTTTTAGTAACGTCAAGTCAACATGACTTGAGATGTTCTTCATACTATGATCTGTCACTCTCCTGTGCCACACCCAGTGGTCAGGCACTGACATTATACGCTAGAACTGTAGCTATTTTTATTTACTATAGGTCGAAAGTTGTGGTATCTTATTTAGCTGTAATAGGGATGAGAGCTGTGATTATAGTCTATCCAATATAGCTTGATTAGAATGACGGCTGTCAAACGAATGTGACTAGTGATGGGTATGTTTCGTACGGTTCACATAGATGTATCGATAAGTTTTCGAAAAAATGATATGAAAAAATGCACCCAATTTTTCTTCATATATCTTTATTCATAATAATTAACTTTNTTTGTGAAATGGCTCTTAAGCGTTGATTACATTGAAAATGAAAAAAAGAAATCAATATGGACCAATATTTGGCACTTATGAACGTCAAAATAATAAGAAAAAAGTAGCCCTTACATGTCAGTTCATTGCAGTGTTCCTACCACAAGTTTTACTACCCATTTTTTTTTTCTTTTTTTTTTTTTTTTTGCGATGGCATCCCTAGCTGTCAGACGCGTAATTTTAACGGGTCAAATTTTTAATGTTAATTTACTATAATTTCGTGTAATTTTGTGATAAAATATACTGAAATCAATTGTTTATCGTATAAATAATGTATACGAGTGTTATCCGACGAAAATATTTAATATTTAAGACAAAAACAAAATTTCGTCAGCTGTCAACGAAAAATCTTCATAAATTCAAATTTACGGAACAAATTAACATAGTCCAGTCATTTAAGCTTAAATTAGGTAAGAATCTCGGAATTAGAGATACCCAGCTGTAAGTCTGTAAATACTTGTATATTGACACCCTAAAAGTTGTCTCAAAACCTACATACCATATGTAGGTTTTGAGACAATTTTTAGGGTGTCAATCAAAGAGCATAAAAGAGTAAGAGACGGCACTCCATAGATATTTTTTGAGCTCACGCACACATATGCATTTTAGAGAACGACCCGCAAATCTTTACCAACCGCACAAACTACAGGCGGAGCTACCAACATAATGCCTTATTTTCTGACAGTATTAGTTACAACAAGGAATTCCCGAAATTTCCACAGGAATTAGCGGGAAAATCCTTTTGTATGAAAAATCTAAACCGCTTAAGTAGACCTGAAGTGATGCAGTGACCGCGCGCTCTCCGCCATCTATCTCGAAAACGGTTCACCGTATAAAAAAAGTTTTTAAACAAAATTTGTAGAGAATTTAGTATTCTACAATATTGATAATAAATACAAATAGCAAAAAACCCACAGGAAATGAGATATTTCTAAAAAAGCGCAAAAAACCGATTTTTGTGACCGTTGACCTTGAAATTTAATAGTTGCTTACACCCTACCATATGTAGGTTTTGAGACAATTTTTAGGGTGTCAATC